CTAATATATGCACATGTTGGTTTTTGGTTTTTTTTTCAGCTAGTGAGCATGATTCTCCAATCTACACCTTTTTGATTCTGGTCTTGCTCCAGAACTTTGCTGTGGCATATAGAAAAGCCTGTTGTCTCTTTTATATTTTTTCATTCAATGATTACCACAAAGTAACTCACACTGGTAGTCTCAGGGAGAAAATTGTCTCTTTGTTTTATGAATGTATTTTTAAGCTAAATCTCTTATCTTTTAAAAGCAGGAACAATTGTTTGAGTTGTTTAAATAAGGTTTTAGTTAGCGTATACTAAAGTCTCTATCTTTAATATTTCACCTGAAGCCCTAACTACATACTTTTTTTCCCCCTGTATGCACAAAGGTAAATACCCAGATGAATATACTTGCTAATTACAATGAGTTTTATATGTAGTATATGTATAAATGAAAAATTTGTATGTTTTCATATAAACAATATAAAATATTCTAAATGAACATTTTAAAAATTCTATCTTATAATTCTGCTTGAAAAATCCACTGAAAGCTGTACTCTGGTGATGCTGCTGTGAACTGAAGATGGAGATTTTCTGTAGCTGGTGCACTCAAATGGAGGTAATATGCAACTTTTTAATTTTAGAAGAAAGCCATATTGGGCAAAATGTCAGATTTCTTGGCTGTTACTGAAATAAAATACACTAGCTCATTTTGTTATAACGTTCTGAAGTGAGTGTTGTGTATTTTTTCTTGCACACTTTGCAAAGCATATAAAGGGCTCTGCCTTTTTCTGCCATCCTCCACTTCATTGTATTTTTGTGTATGTAAGAGTGAACGATATTTGTAAGATGACAATGCATGCATTCACTTTAACTGCTCATATTTTTAGACTTCAGTAAAAGGTGTGCCCAGGGTTTCTTTTCACTAGCAGGAATTTGTTTTTATAAGGAGGAGAAAATTGAGAAGGTGCCACGTCTGCCAAAGTCGGCAGTTGTTTCACTATCAAATCAGTCTCTTAAAAAACGTCCTGAAGAAACTAGGGAAAAAAATGAGTTTCTATCAAATGGCATTGAGAACTCTGTAGTACTCTTTCCTAAAAGAAGTTGATGCTTTGGATTAATACAGGAACTTGACTTATCACAATGCCATTGTTTGCAGTATCTGGTGTCCAGTTCTGCAGTCCACAGTCTTAACTCCTGGATGTTTTCTTGCTCTCCTATTAGTTCAGCAGACACCTCTGAGTTAAAGAGGGGCAGAATTAGAGTGAAATAGTGTGGTACTATTTAAAATGGTGGGGGAAATGTCTTGACTCTCTAGAGTTCTCTTTGCTATCTGAGATGTAAATATGATTATCAGGATTTAGTGCACCTCTGACCTTGAACAGTTTTATCCAGAAAGAAATTAACAACGTGAAGTCAAAGAGCAAATACAAAGTAACGTAGTTTAATCCTTACTGCTTTTTCCTTTGGAAGAAGGAAGTAACAAACTATACTCGACACCAGGGCAAAACCCAGAAGAATGCTACATTTAATCAGAACGTCATAATAATCTGCCTTCAGGCAGAACTTTGGCCCTTCAGTCTGGATTGCTTAATTTACTTCTGTGATGATTGTGAAATCTAGTGAATCTTCCAGGTTAGCAGAAAAATGCTCCATTTTACTTTCATACCCTCATACCACAAATGAAGAACTATGTCACAAGAACCGCATGGGTTTGTCCTGCAGCAGAAATTGTACCTGGAGTCATCGAATCATAGAATTGTTCAGGTTCGAAAAGACCTTAAAGATTATCAGGTCCAACCACAACCTGACCATACTACCCTGATTCCAACAACCCTCTGCTAAATCAAGGTGTACTTGAAGGGAAAGTATACTTGAGGGGAACAAACAAACAAACAAACAAACAAAAAAAACCCCACAAAACAATACAACTACACATTTGAAAAACCAAGCTACAATTAGTATTGCTTTATCTGATTGACTCCTTCCTACTACAACTTTTTGGTTACTTCACTACATTTACTATATTGGCAATAAATTGCATACAGAATACACTCATAACATTAGAAATCAGGCTTGTTCAGGATTTTCTACAATTCCTTTATTTTAAGATGTATATGAATATGGTTGCATGACTCCAGTGCTAGTCAGATAAATTTCACTAATTCTTTCTTGCTTATAAGGAAGGTGACTGAGTCACTCAGCTAAAGAACACCTTCTCTGCAGTCAATGGGCAGCTTCACAGAATCACAGAGTTGCAGGGGTTGGAAGGAACCTCCAGAGATCATCGAGTCCAACCCCCCAAGTTTCAGGAGTGAATAAGCACACTTACCTCTTTTTATTGTACAAAGACTGTAGAGCAACAGCCCACTTAATTGCCTTAGTTGCCTAAATGTAGATGTAAGGAATCCTAGCCTATCTTTTTTTTTTTTTTTTTTTTTTTTTTTTTCCAATTATTATTATTTTTTTAAATACAATTTGCAAAAAACAGCAGCTTTGAAAGATGCAGAATGACTTTCAGGAGTTATGTTGCTCTTCTCATGGTATGCTCAGTGTAATCTAGTAACAGTACTTTTATTGCTTTTCCTAGACAAGCAATAAGCCATTTTTTATTTTATTGAAAGTGAATGTATAGTTTCTAGAATTGTGGCCTAGCTACTTTCTGGAATTGAGCATCGATTGTATCACTTCCATTTTTTTTTTTTTTTTTTTTTTTTTTTTTTCTATTAAGTGCCTGGCAAAATTTCCTATTTGCTATAATTGTATAGCAAAATCACTTTTCAGTTTAACACTTAATTAATTTGCAGTGTATTTTTAAATTATTATTTATAAGTACTCATTTTTTTAGATACTCTGCAATAATTGGAAATACCCATGTACACAGCACTGGGATCGTGTAACAAAATCTGGCAGCCTGGCTGAACCAGAACTTCTCCAGCCTGACTGCTCAGCCTGACTATTAACAACTGAACCTGTTGCCCAGCTTGCCATTAGGCTCCTTTGCTGCACTCCTTTACTGAGTTAATGCAATTAGACAGCTCAGGCTTTATCTGTTGCTCAAACTGCACCATAAGGCTTGGACACTGTTAAGAGTTTTTGTACATTGTAACTCAGTTATTTTCATTTAGCCGTAGTGTCATGGCCTGCTTGCTGTCAACAGCAGGCTGAACATTGTGAGAAGCAGAAGATGCCAGAAGTGTTGATACCAATGTTGCTAGGAAACAAGAAGAGCTAGGCTTAATGATATAAAAGTATAATTCCACAATAGCTACCAAAATCTGGCCTTATAATGAAGTGTATTCAATGATCAAGCCTACCAAGTTCAACCCTACAGTCCAGCTGAAGAGTTCAGAGGGCAGCTAGTACTTTAACTTGAACAATAGTCCTTGAATTGTAAATACAGTTGGAAACCATCAGCTGTGGTGCCTGGCTGCCTAGAGAAACATAACCATACTGCAGCCTGTAAACAGGAGAGGCAGACACAGTTGCACCTGACAATGGAAAAGAAACTAAGGTAGCATGTAAGCTCAAGCGTTATTGTCAGATGAGCAGCAAATCTCATTCATCATGCTTAGTCTGAATCCTCACCTAACCTGTGAGATCCGTGAGCTCATCTCAGCACACATGCAGCCCTGCTGACAGCATCCCAGTTGCATATTGGATGTGTACCACTGACCACTGCATTGGTTGACAGTTCTTGTACTCTTGAAACATTGCCAGCTCCATGGCACACACTGTATTCTGTAAAACCAAAAAGCAGTTTTAGATCCACGAGCCACCTTTGGATTTCCAAATGATCACAGGGTACTTTTTGTAGGAGGATTTTTCATTGACTAAATATTTCTTCATTAATATGTGAACCACATAGTTATTACTAGTTATCATTTGACAATTATAAATATTTCAGGCAGGTTTGGTTGTTTGTTGGTTTTTTTTGTCTTCTTTTTACATTGTTTTGTTTGGTTGGGTTTTCTATTGTTGTTGAGGATTTTGTTTGTTTGTTCATTTTTTGTTTGTTTGTTTGTTTTAGGAACCACTACCTAGTTGCAACCTTCACTTGCTCTGTAGCTGTAATTAACTTTTCCAACTGCTGGCTGCCTCTTCCATACAAGAAACCAGATAACCGTACTGACCCAACTGTTGTACAGAAACATAGAATCAAAGGATCATTAAGGTTGGAAAAGACCTCTAAGACATCTAGTCCAGCTGTTGATTCATCCCCAACAAGCCTGCATAACATAATCTTCAGTTCCACACCCACCCTTTTCTTGAACACCTCCAGGGTGGTGATGCCACTGCTTCCCTTGGCAGCCTGTTCCAAAGCCTCATCACTCAAAGAATATTCTTTTCCTAATATCCAACATTATCTGTGAAAGAAGCAGCTTGGTTTGGTACCTTTCAGGACAGTACTTTAGGCTGAATAAAACTGATACTGAAAGTGTACTGTGGAGACAGGGTCAGCCTGATACTACACCTAGATGCTTTGTCAGAAACAGTTCCATATTTTCAGTGACGGATTTATTTTAGTGCAAATTTCAGCAGTGCTTTTGCAGGAAGGTCCATTCAACTAGTTAGCAAAAGGCCATTTGATAAAGCAATGGGACTTTACTTTTAACACAAGCTAACAGTGGGAGAGCCCAAGAGCCAGGAACTCAACAGAGAATTTCACATAATTGTAGGGGCTGGACCAGGCTGCACAGGTAGGCATCCAGGCAGGACATGAATATTTCCAGAGGATTCTCCACAGCCACTTTGGGCAGCCTGTTGCAGTGCTCTGTCACCCTTACTGTGAAGTTCTTACGCACATTTGTGCAGAACTTCCTAGGCTTCAGTTCGTGGCCGTTTCCCCTTGTCCCATCGCTAATTTCTAACTTCCTTACAAAGAAGTTACATCCGCACTCTTCACGCCGACGCCGGCGGGCGGCCCCGAGCCCCGCGGGCGGCCCCGAGCGGGCGGATCTGCCGGGCCCGGCTCCGAGGGGCGGGGACGGGGCCGCTCCTCCCGCCGCCGCCTGACGGAGCGGTGGGACCCGGCCAGAGGGGCGGCGGAAGCCCGCGCTGCAGGTACCGATGCACAGGGAGCGCGGCAGGGGCCTATACAGCGCGCTGCCGGGCCGCGCCGCGTTCAAATCTTGCCGCGCTGCTCGCTACCGGGCCGGGCGGGCGGGACCAGTGGCTGCCGCCGAGCGAGCGCGGGAGGTTTCTCTTGTGCACTGCTGGCGGGGAGAGCCCCGGCCGGGCCCTGCCGCGGCGGCTGCCCCGAGGGCGGGCGGGAGTGAGAAGCGCGGCGCCGCCCCGCGCGGAGGGCTGTCCGGGGGCTGCAGCACCGCCTGCGGCCGTCGTCTGGCGGGAACCGCCATCCCGCCTCGCGTTCGCGAGGGGGTGGGAAGGAGCCGGTGCCCGTGGCGGCTCCGCGCTGCCCAGCCTGGCCCGGCCTGCTTGGGCCTCGCTCCGCCGCGAGCTTTTTCCTAAGTTTGTAGATTCCCGCATGACTCGATTCCGAAGCCTCTCACTTTTAACTGCTTTACTTTGCTCGTCCGGGCAGGCTCGGCATGGCGCTGCGCGCCGACCAGGTGAGCCTCATCGGGCAGGTGTTCGAGTCCTACGTGCTGCAGCACCACCGGGACGACATCCTCGGCATCCTGCGCCAGGGGGACGACGAAGCGCACTATCCGGTCCTCGTCGACGCCCTGACGCTGTTCGAGACCAACATGGAGATCGGGGAGTACTTCAACGCCTTCCCCAGCCAGGTGCTGCCCATCTTTGACGGAGCGCTGCGCCGGGCGGCCATGGCGGTGCTGCAGGCTGCCACACCATCCCCGGAGCTCCGCATGAAGCCCAACCTCCACGCCAGGATTTCAGGTGAGTGGCGGGCAGGGAGGCAGCTTCTCCTTGGTCTTTCTGACTCCCCCTGTGCTGTGGCACTTGTCAGTAGGTTATGTGAAGTGGAGTTACGTAGGCCGTGCGCATGTCCCTTATGGTGTGCGTGCAGTGGTTAGATGTTTGTTACAGGGTCAGGACTCAAACCGCAGTCTTCTCATGAAAAAAAAGCTCCTCAGACCAGCTCTCGTTCTCAGGCTGTTTGTGCTGACAGCCAGAAGGTCTAGCTATAAGTTCTAGAGGAGGGTACAGTTCCTAGCCATTTTTGCCCTATGACTTCCTCATAGCTTGCGGCTCCAACAACGTTTCAGAATACGCGGAGTCCAAATTTTGAGTTGTCATAGAATCATAGAATGGCCTGGGTTGAAAAGGACCACAGTGATCATCTAGTTTCAACTCCCCTGCTATGGGCAGGGTAAGTAGTCTTGTAGTTTTATCTGAATTAGTTAAAATTTATGCTTAACTAGTAGTTATAAAATTACTTGTTGGAACGAACTGTTGGAAAGAATGGTGTTTACTAATGGATTTTATTGTTGGTTTGTTTTTTTGCTACAAATTCATATACCATTATTGTTCACTGTTGGGAAGACTTTGTTGGCTTTGAGGTGCGGTTGAGGTGAGGTGTAGTTGTGAAGTGCAGGTTCTGAAGTTAAAACACCTGTTGTAGGAAACTGGGCTTGGTGGTGGCATGGTCCCGTCTTGTCATTGCTGACAGTGACTATTTGGAACTGTCCAGTTTGCAAAGGCAGGAGATGGTGACTACTGTTTCCCTCCTTTGCCCCATATTTGAGTGCTTTATGATCATTTGTCTATTGGCAGCTTGAACATAGAGAGCATGCATGTGGCAGCCCCAGCTCTGTTTTGGGTAAACCCAGGAGTTTGTGGAATAATGTTTTTTAATTAAAGAAGTTAAATCCCTGCTAGTGACACTGAGGGAGGGTATACATTGTTCCTGAACAGTCTGGTGGTCTTCTGTGATGGAGTGACCAGCATCAGTGGACAATGGAAGAACAGTTGATGTCATTTACCTTGTCCTCCATAAGACCTTTGACATGATCCCCCACGATATAGCCCCCCTCTCTTGCCTCTATATTGGAGATGTATCGTTTTGATTGATGGATTGTTAGAGAGAGAAGGAATTCATAAGAAACTTCAGCAAGGTCCTGCACCTGGATCAGAGTAATTCCCGATATCAGAAGACTGGGTGATGAATTGACTGAGAGCAGCCCTGCAGATAAGCACTTCGGGATGGTGGCTGATAAAAAATTGGATAGGAGCCAGCAGATTGTGCTTTGCATTGTATACTGGTCTGTATAAGAAGTGTGGCAAGCAGGTTGCATAAGGCCACCTCGTCGTGGCCTTCTATAAAGGCAATTTGTAAGAAAGGTGGAGAGACTTTTTAGCAGGGCCTGCAGTGGCAAGACAAGGGACAATGACAATGTTTTTCAACTGAAGAAAGGCAGATTTAGGTTTTCTATAAGAAAGGAATTGTTTATCTTGAGGCTGGTGAGACACTGGAACAAGTTGCCCAGAGGAGTGGTGGCTGTCTCATCATCTGAAGTGGTAAAAATCAGGTTGGCTGAGGCTTTGTACAACCTCATCCAGTACAAGGTGTTGCTGCCCATGGCAGAGGGTTTGGCACTACACAGTCTTTAAAGTTCCCTTCCAACCAAACCATTCTGTGATTGATTCAATGAATCGTATCTGTGGGAATAAATGTGTTTTTATCCAGTATGTTTCACTAAAAATGCTGACACTAAAATATGAACACCAGAAATATGATTACCTTGTGGCTCTCATAATGCATTTTGTCCAGGATTTTAGGAAAGAAAAAGCACAACAGCTTGTGACCTGCTTCAGATGGTTGTTGCAAGATGCAGTTGGTGTACAACTGCTGTCTGCCTGATGTGCAAGGACGTCCTCTGCGTTGCACAGAATACTGAACCATTCAGTACACTAATAGAAGTATGAGCAAGTGAAAACTGTATTTGCAGTGTTCTGGGATGCATTTGCAGGCTTGAGCTGGAGTGAGGGAAAGCGGTTTGGTTTATGTTAGGGATAAGAATGCAATCTTGGCACACTCGTGTTGATGTGGACAGGATAGCTAAGGAGCGCAGAGAAGGATGAGGGCGGTGTGAATAGGCAGTGGTTGACTGAGTGGTTACCCCTCCTTCCCTGAGAGGGAAGAAGATGCAACTATCTGAATTTCAGCACTGTACAAGTTTAATTGTGCCACTTCTCTTCTTGATGCAAATCCATTACAGGATTTTTCCTTACCATTAACCTGAGCGCTCACGTCAGTTGTTGATAGCCATGCTGCTGCTGGTAGTTCAGTTTTATATGTTATTACTAATATACGAAAGCTTATTCAAAGAAACATGCACTCAAATAGTTTGTCAAGCAGTCTGATAAAATCAGAGCGAAAGCTCCCTTTTTCCCTGTCCAGCCTCCTGTCTTCTTGCTATTCACTGGGACAGTCATAGCATACATCCTGCCAACAGGGCTGCAGCTCTCTGACGTAAGCTGAGAAACACCGGATTTTGATTTTTATTTCCTTTTGACTAAACTGAATAAAAACACAAACCTGTAGGAGAATAAGAATTTTTGCCAGGTTTGGAAGAAGCTATAAATGGCTTTGTTACAGTCAACCAGAAAATTACTTTGTTTCCAGTTCTACATAATAGTTCATTTCTTTTCCAAATTACTTCCTTAATACATCTATAATGAGCTTAATGTTTAATAATATTTTCTTTAATCAGTAGCAAAAAGTCAAACACTTTGCTTGAAAGCATCAAAGCTGAATGTTTCAACGTGTCTGAAACAAAAGATTTGATTTTGGACGTACTGAAATAAGGACATTCTGCTTTTTTTCTTAACAGCCAAAGCTACTGAGCAGATTTGATCTAAATACACAAATAGAGTTGGTCCCCTTAGAAGAATCATTTTCCAGCAGATTTATATTTACATCTCCATTTTCTGTCTTCGTTTCGGAAGTAAAACTGTAAGAAATTGTATTAAGATAATTTGTTTAAATTGATATTTACTAAGTTCTACGGTTCTACGGTTTCTTGTAAAATAACTTCTGAAGAGGCAATGCATCCTGGAGGACATTTATTTTTATAAAGACTTTGCAGGCAGTTGATTTAGACTCATCTTCCTCAGGCTTTCAGCAGCTGTTCTGCTGTGGTGCCCGTAGCGATGAACACAGCGGTGGGATCCATGCAGCACAGCTGGCTGTTGGGGTGGAGTTACAGGAGAGAAGTGCCACGAAAATTTTGGCACCACTTATCTGAACAGAGAAGTGACTTCACTCTGGTTGTGTTGTTAACCTTTTTCTATTCCTTTTCTGACATCTTCCGTGTGCTTCAGTTTTACTGGTGCGCAAATGCGGATTTAAGGTCAAGTGCTCGTGTACTGTGGCTTTAGATTTTGCTTAGACTTGAGAATACCCACAAGATGCAGAACTGTGCTTTTCTTAACCATGGGAACAATTCTGAACCACGGTTAAAACATAGCTAAAAGTTTGTAATTAAGATAAACCAGTTGAGAATCAAGGACATTGGCAGATCATTTGAATTGATAGACCTGAGAGCATCAGGATCTTTTTTCATGAATGGAAACTGCTTGTGACTTCTAAGCTGTCGACAAAAGTAGGCGAGTAAAATGGCCATATTTTCTGATTGTTATCAGCATCTGATGCTTTTCACTGTTGAAGACCAATTAATCACATGTATGCTGCGACAGATGAATTGTTGAATTGTATTTACAAAACAGCTATAACTAGTGTTAATAGGTCAGATGTGTTTCCCAGTCTCTCTATTTAATTGCACTGCAAGTATGTTTCATGCACGTGGTCTCATGCTGCATGTACTTTGATTTAACAGGTTTGCCCGTTTGCCCAGAGCTGACTCGAGAGCACATTCCTAAGACCAAGGATGTGGGTCACTTCTTGTCTGTCACTGGGACTGTCATCCGTACCAGTTTGGTGAAAGTGCTGGAATTTGAGCGGAGCTACATCTGCAATAAGTGCAAACACGTTTTTGTGGCTAAGGCTGACTTTGAGCAGTACTATGCTTTCTGCCGTCCATCAGCCTGCTTGAATGAAGAGGGCTGCAACTCAACCAAGTTCACTTGCCTCTCTGGAACATCCTCCTCTCCTACCAGCTGCAGAGACTATCAAGAAATCAAAATTCAGGAGCAGGTAAAAAAAAAGATCAAGAAAGGGGGAGGGTATTGCGGTGTAGATGTCTCAAATACTAAAAAAATGAACTTGCTAAGAAATGTGTTTGGGGACTTAATTTCATGCTGGAATAAGACATCTCCACTAATTTTAGTGAAACTGTGCTTCTGAATTAAGTTTATCCTGTTTTCATGTAAAACTTCTACATGCTAAGATAAGTGGAAAAGTTTTACAGGTTGTTATTTAAAAGGGAGGGCTGATCAGCTTACAAGAAGCCAGAGAATCCACCTCTCAGGGATTTTCAGTCAGAGAGTTAAAGAAAAAAAAGTAGGCATATGTTGACTAGACTTCCATTATTAAGTATTAATTATATTGAAGATCGTATGAAACACTGACGGTTAGGACATAGATCAAACTTTAGAGCTGAATCCTTGTATCACTGTGTGTGCTGTTCCTCTAAGTGCTGACTGAGAATGGTGATGATATTCTATGCTATTTCTAAGGAATAAAGCTAGCCCAGTGGTAGCCAAGGTCAACTGTAGGGGTACAGTATGGTCAGTACATGGTATCTGTAAATGTTGTCCTCCAATCAACAATCATATCAACAGTTACTGAAAATGTGCTCCTCACAGAATTGGCGTTTGTTTTCTGAAGTTAGTTCTGAGTGAACAGCCTCAAGGACAGTTAAGCTGGAGAAGTGACAAACAGTCAGGGCTCTTTTTACAGTAGCACGTAAGACAAAACAGGCGCAGGAAAAGCTACAGTGTATGAAAACTGAGGATAAGCAGAGTACGTGGCAGCTGATGTTAAACCAAGAATGAGCTTCACTCATTTCCTATTTAGTGCTGCGAGAAACTGCATGTTCCACCAGTGCTGACAGTGATGTGAACTGCCTGTGGCCATTTAGATACTAACAAGGGTGAATTACCCTTTCCAGGCACAAGACAGTGAGTAAATCTGGAGTTCTAGTATGTAAAATGTAGAGGTACTTCTGATTCTTGTTCTTGTGCAGTGGATATTTTAACAACTGTTGCGAGCTTTAATTGTAAATGGAAAGATTTCTCTTTGGAAATAGACCATGACAAATCTGCATACTTTGCCCTAAAGAAAAGGAAAGTCTTTTCAATGGTTAGTGGCACATTTGTCAATACACATGCATCTGGTCATGTGCAAATTTAATTCTCAACACCTAGGTGTAAATTAAATCTCAATCTGCCAAATTTTAACAATATACCAGAAAAATGTAGAGAATAATCTCTCAGTATATAGTTCAGTGAAGTGTTATCAAACCCATGGATGTGCTTCAGAAATCAAAATAAATTTTACTTACTGGATAAGTGTCTGAAAAATATCTCAAATATTAACAACAACAATAAAAATTAGTTATTTTAAATGACATCTCTCAGGGAGGTTTTTTCAGCAAGATATTGAAGTTACTCAGCACCTCCCAGGATTGAGCACCTTCAGCTAATTTAATACCCAAGCCTGTCTCCATTACTATCAACATCAAATTTCCATGTTTAAACTCCCAATAGCAGTAGTGTGTTTACCATGTAAGCTGTATGAGAAAAAGCAAGGACTGATCTCAGTTCCAAGAAGGGATAAAAGGTCTTCAAGCCGAAGTGGCAATAAATGACTTTTGAAAGGTGCTATTCTTAATAAGTGCTATTCCTTCCTCTCTCCTAGGTTCAAAGACTGTCTGTCGGAAGCATCCCTCGTTGCATGGTGGTTGTTCTGGAAGATGACTTAGTGGACAGTTGCAAATCTGGTGAGGATATAGTGTACATTACATTTAATTGTACCATAAGTGTTTTTACTCTTCCATTTGAGATCTCTGCCAACCAGTCTGTCAGCACTGAGGGTTTTTTTAATAAAATGTGTTTATCTGTCATGTTGTTGTTTCAGCTTAGAAGTTAGCATGGCAGTTGAAGACTGATCTAGAAAGCACTGTATATCTATCTACATGCTATATCTTGATTATTTGACAGATCAGTTTCAGTAAGTGTTGTGTTGTGATGCACTGAAATATGCTAAGCTTGTTAGCACAAGAACCCTAAGCCTTTTGAGGAAATGGATTGGGCCATACCTGCAGTGTAACATCCGTCTGTAGGTTTGGAACACTGTGCAAACTGACCTATCTAAGGGATGCTGCAGATGGAAAAAGCTGTTTGTCTTCCAAAAGGAAGCTAATTGGTGAGAGACTGAATAAGAATGGACTAAAAATTCTCAGTTATATCCCTGCAAGAAACTCAGTACTCATTGTTGGTTGTACTGTCTGACAACACTGTGGCCAGAAGTTCATGTGTGATACTGGTATTCTTCACAGAAGTTATCAAAGGTTAAGTAAGTGTTTGCTCTTTTAGAAAAGAGGAAACACAGGTAGGTATAACTTCAGGAATTTAGAAGTAGAAGGACATTGTAGCTTCCTACTACAGACAGGAGGAATCTAGCTAATGTTTGTTTCAGACTTAAAAACTGCATTGTTTTTTATTGCTGTTTTGTTTTTCTGTATATTTTTTTGTTGGTTTTCTTTTTAACTTTGTGACACGGGGTCTAAACTATACTATTATCCATTATTGCAGACACAGCCACATATTTGTCAGTCGTAATAGATTTTACCTTTTTTTTTTCCTTTTTCTTTTTTTAACCAATCTTTATTGTTACCCACAGGAGATGACATCACAGTGTATGGAGTGGTAATGCAGAGATGGAAACCTTTCCATCAGGATGCACGTTGTGACTTGGAGCTTGTTTTGAAAGCCAACTACATTAAAGTAAATAATGAGCAACTAGCAGGTGTAATAATTGACGAAGAAGTCCGCAAGGAATTTGAAGACTTCTGGGAAAAGCATAGGAATAATCCCTTAGCAGGTTAGTGCTTGAAAGCTTTACAGTAGATGAAATTAGGAGTGACAATACAATGACTGAGCATATATTTCCCCATATATTCCTATCACCAGTTCCTCCAAAAATACATTTTTTCCAGTAGAGGAATATAAAATACTTATTTTAAAATAATAGCACCAAACATCTTTCTCTGATCTGTCTTCTTTTGAGATTTCTAGTCAAGTGTTTTCTGGACTATTTATTAGCCAGAAATGAAAGAAGGAAAAAAAAATGGGTGCTTTATAAACATGAAAGAAAAAGCATACCCATTAGAAGTAATGTGGACCAGATATACTTAGCTGTTGAGTAACATAGCTGTTAACTCTGGGGCGAGATGTCTCGTTGTCTCTGCATCCCAACTTAAGCTCTGAATCATTGCCAAGCAGCTTAGTGTATGCCATCTTTAGCCTTACTCTGGAAGGTATAGCCCCATGATTTAAGTGCTGGGAGCCTCACGTCACATACGGAGAGACTCTGATTTGAAATTGGCTTCCAACAGCCAGAATGTTCAGCATGCTGGCTCCTAATTTTACTGTGGTTTACAGTCTGCCACCTAGCAATTACCAGTTGTGCCCTGGACTCCGTTCTTCTCCCCTGATGTAAATCCCAGTGACACTGGGATTTTTGTCACTGAACTGTCTCAAAATAGCACCATCTTTTAAAACTTTGAACTTGGTCTTTCTCCTTGAAAGACAAATGGAAGAAGAGTAGGTGTCAGTATTTCCCTTACAAATCAGATTGCTCACGTGAGAAATCAGAGATTATATCAATGGTAAACATTCTTCAGAATTGCATTTCATAGAAAGTAGTTTAATTGCTAGCCTCCAACTGTTTGGAGTGGGAACAATTATTATCACTCTGTTGTGAAACTTTGGAATGTAAGTCAGGATCCACTTTGATGGTCCCAGGTAGTCTTTCATTCTTGTGATGTTTTTTGGAAGCCTGCAAAGTGGTTTTATGCAATACTAGTAATTCAGAATTAAATGGATGTGAAGTGGCTACAAGAAAATGGGGAAGGAAATTGGAAGAACTCTGGCTGTCCGAGATGTTCCTTTTAGGCTGTTTTTGTGAATTAGTATCCTCTCTGCTGAGGGCAGAGATGAGTCTACTGGGAAGGCCATTTCAGAACAGGTTGTATGTGTATGTTTACTGTTTTCCAAAAAAGAATGGTAGCCAGTTCTGCATTTCATGTCAGTCAGTTCCTGATGCTGTGTACTAGGTATGTCCTGAGAAGACAGCTTAGACAGGTGACTTTGCTTTTTCTGGGTACTAAGAAGAAGCAGAGCTTCTGGGCTGTTTATCACTGAAAAGGCAGATGACTCTTAAGTCAAATAGAGGCAACTATAGAGTTAAATCTTGAATTATGCCATGACCAAAGTTAGAATTTTTTCATTTTTGGACAAAAATATGTTGACTTCCTCGAAGATGTCCACAAGAGGCATATAAGCCTCAAGTCATTATGAAGTGCCTACTTATTTTGCCAGTACCACATACTTGAATCCAAATTTAAAACATGTTAGGAACTCGAAATCGGTTGCTTTGTTTTATGTGCTGTAGCAGTGCAATTAATGTATGACATGAATCCTGCGATCCATTGTGTGCTGTTGGTACCAGAATCTCAAAGGGCAAGCCAACGAAATTGCCATTGCAGATGGAAGTGCTCTTTTGCTCTTTGAGGCTATGGAGGGGAGGAGGAGAGGAAGAACGTATAGAAGAAGTAGAGTCAAGATAATGAGGAAAATGAACTGTGTTATGCCTGTGTGGAAACTTGTTTTCTTATGTTTCTTAAATGTACAACACACCAGTTTTCAAGGGGATATTTTGAAGTGTGGAAAAAATAAAGTTTATTCTTCAAGGCTCTACACTTTTATTTGAAACAAAAGCAGTTGTGTGGTGGCATTGTGTTAGTGTCTTTTCCTAAATCATCCATCCATTCCTTAAACTGTGATAGGATTGGCATTGCTGCCTGTGGCAGTGGAATGTTTAACTTCCTTAAAATTAAGAACATTAGGATCAAACAATCATTTGAGTTTCATTTAAAAAATGGAAAAGAAGGAAAGAAAGAAAAGCAGGCCCAGTTTTTTTTTTTTGTCAGTGCAGGGATATATGTATCCATGACAAATGAAGTTTTATTCTTAGGGCAGTGCTGAGTGCCACTTTCTGCTCATGTTCTAGGGAGGAATGAAATTTTGGCTAGCTTATGTCCTCAAGTGTTTGGTTTGTACCTGGTGAAGCTGGCTGTAGCCATGGTGCTTGCTGGTGGTGTGCAGAGGATTGATGCTACAGGAACTCGAATCAGAGGTTAGTATTGTCTCTGATAGTGTCTTGTGTACTAACAATTGTTCCCATTGCTATTTTCACCCATATTCCTCCTTCTTTCCAAATTAGTAAGGTTTCAGAAGCATAAGAATCCCATTTCTGTGACTGAGAGCTATATTTTTAATGCTGAATATTCTTCCATAGAATCACAGAATCACCAAGGTTGGAAAAGACTTCCAAGATCATCCAATCCAACTGTCCGCCTATCACCAATAGTTCTTACTAAAGCATGTCCCTCAACACAGCATCTAAACATTCCTTGAACACCTCCAGGGTTGGTGACTCCACTACCTCCCTCAGCAGCCCATTCCAGTGCCTGATCACTCTTTCAGAGAAATAGTATTTCCTAACATCCAGCTTGAATCTCCCTTGGTGCAACTTGAGGCCATTCCGACTAGTCCTATCACTAGTTACAGGAGAGAAGAGGCCAACCCCCCACTCACTGCAACCTCCCTTCAGGTAGTCATAGAGAGCAATAAGGTCTGCCCTGAGTCTCCTCTTCTCCAGACTGAACAATCCCAGCTCCTTCAGCTGCTCCTCATAAGGCCTGTGCTGCAGACCCCTTGCCAGCTTAGTTGTTTTTCTCTGCACACACTCTAGACACTCAATGTCTTTCTTGCCGTAAGAGGCCCAAAACTGAACACAGTACTCAAAGTGTGGCCTCACCAGAGCTGAGTACAGAGGTACAATCACTCTCCTGTTTCTGCTGGCAACACCATTTCTGATGCAGGCCAGGATGCCATTGGCCTTCTTGGCCAACTGGACATACTGCTGGCTCATGTTCAGCTGAGCATCAATCAGTACCCCCAGGTCCATTTCTTCTGCACAATCTTATAGCCACTCTACCCCAAGCCTGTAGTGCTACCTGGGGTTGTTGTGGCCAAAGTGTATAACCTGCCACTTATGGAACTTCATCTCACTTGCTTCAGCCCAGCTCTCCAGCCTGTCCAGATCCCTCTGTCGGGTCTCGCTACCCCCAGGCCAGTTGACACTTCCTACCAACTTGGTGTCATCTGCAAACTTACTGAGGGTGCACTCAGCGCCCTCATCCAGTTCATCACTAAAGATATTGAAGAGAGCAGGGCCCAGCACTGACCCCTGGGGAACACCACTTGTATCTGGTCGCCAGCTGGATTTAACTCAGTTCACTACCACTCTCTGGGCCCAGCCTTCCAGCCAGTTCTTTGTTCAGCAAAGAGTGTACCAGTCCAAGCCATGGGCTGCCAGCTTCTCCAGAAGAATACTGTGGGAGACAACGTCAAAGGCTTTGCTGAAGTCAACCCCCATCTCAACCCACCTCAGTTCCCCAGGTTCCTCTACATAATAGGTTTGAGGCCCTGGAACCAAAGGGAGAGGTGAGTGAAGATGTGGTGGGAGGTCAAGGTTGTCTGGGGTGAAGCAATCAACTCCACACCTCAAAACTGCCTCCATCAAGAAGGAAAGAAGGGTGATTGTTGTCAGCAACTTCCTTCTGATAGGATCAGAGGGCCCTACATGTCAGCCTGACGCTAGCAGTAAGATGTGCTGCCTCCCTGGGGCCCGGGTCAGGGATATTTCTGGAAAACTCCCCAGTCTGATCTGCCTCTCCAATTATTACCCTTCATTAATAGTTCAGGTCAGCAGTGATGAGGTTGTTGACAGAAGCCTGACGACTATCAAAAATGACTTTAGGGGACTGGGGCACTTAATTAATGGAGCAGGCATACAGGTAGTATTTTTCTCTACTCCTTCGGTAGCAGGGAAGGACACTGAGAGGAGCAGGAAAACCCATGCTTATAAACACATGGCTGAGAGGCTGGTGCAAACACAAGAATTTTGGTTATTTGACCATGGCGTGGTCTACTCAGCAGCTGGCCTGAGGTCTGCTGATGGATCTCACCTGCCTCAAAGGGGGAAATGGATCCTTGCCCAGGAGCTGGCAGGGCTTGTGGAGAGGGCTCTAAACTAGATGTGAAGGGGGAAGAGAATAAAACCAGGCCTGCTAGAGATGAGCCTAGGGGATTGATAATGAGATCAGGGGCCAGGTAAGAAGCATAGCTGAAGTGCATCTCAGCAATGCACACAATATGGGCAACAAACAGGAGGAACTTGAAGCCTTTGTGTGGTGGCAACTATGACTCAGTTGCTATTAGAGAAACAGAAAATAAAGAGGATGACTGGACTTCCTTTTTTTAATTCTAATTTTTCTCAATAAAATCAGGTAAAAACATATGTTCAGGATTCCATTAGGTGGAATGTTAAGGGCAATTTTTTTAGATCAAACATTAACTTCACTTTTTATTGTATAAGTGACATTTTGAAATTATTTCTAGTAGAATATTCTCAGTGATATCTGGCATCAAAGGGTGGAATGTTAATATTTTCTTAACAGGGATCACTATAGTACACTGAAAGGAAAATTTAAAGGATTCAATTTACTTTCTAATGCCAGACTTTTCCATCTGTGACTGTCAGCACTTCTCACTTAGATCTGTTACTGTAAGTTGTCCACCTGCTGATTCTCCTTCTGTTGTTATTAGATGGCAAATATGCCATGTGCCAGGTGGTACACAGGTCAGAATCTATGTAGGTCATAATAATTCTAAAGTAATACGAGTGCATATTCAAATACAGGATCCTCTTAGTGCTCCAGCAACAAAATAAAATTATAGTTTGAATTGAAGTGGTAATAATGTTTTGTGGATGACAGTCTCACTTCACTGAGATTGTAGTATCCAAATAATTTACTTATGTAATTACACTGTTTAGGAATCACTGAATTGCATAACTGTGGGTGATATAACAATATTAGTTAAGAAAAACAACCTGATGATTTCATTAGGTCATTTTGCAGTGATTTAAGTAACTGAATAGTGAAAACATGACTAAGCCATGGTATCCTTTTGTTTCACATTAAAGAGTGAGCTGAATCTAAGAAAGGAGTATTCTAAAATGTAAGAACTTGCATTACAGAAATTTTGTCAAATACCTGCTATTATTTTTTTAAATAATTCATTGTAAGTATTTGGTTTGGGTACAACAATAAAACTATGCTTCTATTAAATGATATATTGATCACACCCTGTAAATATGTTGTAATGCTTACGTAGTGCTAAATGTGAGATGAAGAATTAGAATTATTATTTAACTCAGAGCATTCTGCATATATTTTTCTCTGTATATGTACTATCTACTTCTATATCAATATTTTCCCCAAGGTGAATCGCATCTTCTGTTAGTTGGAGACCCAGGAACAGGGAAATCTCAGTTTCTCAAGTATGCAGTGAAGATTACACCACGGTCTGTGCTTACTGCAGGAATTGGATCTACAAGTGCAGGTATGTGCTTCTTCGCTTGGAAGTCTTTGTAATGTACTCCAATGCAAAGAATGTAGAGAGGCCTTTTACCTCTCGATTTCGGGTTGTGTGAGTACAGTTTAAGCAAAAAACTGGGTGGAGGCATGCCATGTCTCTGCAGAAGGGCAGTCCTGCTTGTTCTGTATCAATGGAGCAGTGTGAAGAGCTTCTAACAGGGAACCTTATGAGCCCCATCCAGAAGTATTTCTCACTGGTTTGCTAGGAGAGGATGATGTGGATCTGTATTTTTAGTGTTCCTCCCAGCTACGACAAATGTGACATTCTCTCCAGAGCTCACATTGTGTGATGTGCTAGAATCATGTGGTTTCCCCTGAACGTGTGTGTTTGGGGGAATGTATGTTCTTGTGTTGTTTTATATATTTTGGCTGGTTGCCAGTTTGATTTCTGCTTGTTTTCTGGAAATATTCCCCTGTGTTGAGGAGCTATTTCTGATATATAAAAATGCTTCAGAGAGCAAAGTTTATTTAAAAAAAAACAGTCTGACAAGCTTTAAGTATGTCCTAGCTGCCTCTGAATGCTAGATATCTTTACAGACTTTTCAGTGGACAATATGCTGGCTCAGATCACCTCTGCAAATGACTTCATTTGAGCAAATGACTATATTACTAGTACATAGTGAAATAATTAAGGACAAAAATGAGAAGGTTTCAGCCAGCATGTGTATCTTAACTGTTTCTCAGATACTGCTGTTCACTTTGTTTGGAAACAGCATTATTTATACGTAGGAAAACCAGATAATAAATGTTTGCCAGTTCTGAAGCTACGCGTACGTGTGTGCTGTGTCTTCTGTAGCTTTGACAACTATTTCAGTGGTAGTGGAATGAGCACATACACTCTTGTTTGAAATACATGTGCCCCTGATTTTCCACCCAAACAACTGACAAATGTTTATGAAGAGAAACTATTTTGGCTCAGCATAATGTTATGTCTACATTTTGTTCTGTGTTAAGAATTAAGAACAGGCTGGATTATTAAAATTTTGCCCAGGGACTGGCAGTGACCTAGAGTAAAGTTTTGTCATGAATTTCATTGCAATCTTGCCTGCTTTTATTGGGAGTAATCTCCCTGTGTCAGCTGCTCTTGGCTTCTGATGTTTCTGTTGCCTTCTTCACCACGTTTCCCACTTCACCTTCATTTTCTGTGTGGTCTGGTTTCCAGGTCAGCTGTGACAGTTATGTTCAAAGACATTTCCCTGAAAACCAATATGGGAGTTTACAAGCTTATAGTGATACACATGCAATAGAATCAACTGAAATTATGTGTTGGAGATAATAGTTTCATCTTGTGAAAGGATTGTTTTAGACCTTTAGATCACCTACATGTCACTTTTCTTTATATTAAAACAAACAAACAAACAAACACTTTATCTCCTTCATTTTCCTGAAATCTTACTGCAGGTGTGTTAAATTTCCACCTTGAAATTCTCAAGAACCCTTATCATGAATGAAACTTGAATATCTCACCAGAAACCCTAACCATAGTTTAATTGTAGAGAACATTTTCATCATTTGAACTAAAACATTAATTTCTAGCCCAAGAGTTCGGATGTAGTTTGAGTTATTTTCTTTGCCCTCCTTGTTCAATGATTGTCTTATTGATTAATATTTTTGGAGCTGTACCTAGTGTTGATTTCGTCAACTTGCTGTTCGTGCAGAAGCACCAAATGATGAGTTTTGAGCACTATAAAATTGTGTTAAATTTCTTGTCATAATTGCACTCTTCAAATTACCAATTTCTACTTTCTCATTAGAAGAGACTCCTAATGAATATTTTCTCCTCCATAGTAGAAAGACTAAATCTGTAAGTTCCATTTCCTCCTAGTTCCTTACATTATATAAAAGTAGTCCATACTGCAGTTTATTACTGACTTTATGATTACAGTCTACATATGCCAAAAGACACACTCATGAATTGGTAAAAGCCTGGATAAACTAAAAGTTGTTTTATACTTGGATTCCTTCTTCAGACAATCTGCCAATAACTCACCAAACTCTGATAAGATCTTTTATGTTAACATACTTTGTATCCATTGCACATCTGGTGGTAGCTGTTGGGGGACATTGGAATTCTTCTTTCAAAGCTGTTGTATCCATTTTTTATTTTTCCATACAAGCATTTCTTGATGCCTGGACATGGCACTAGATAATTAATGCACCTCTTTTACCAAAACTCCTTTTGTTTTCTGTTCTACTTAGGAAAAGTTTCCTTTTAGATCCAGTATGATTCTTTGGGGCCCTGCAGTGTCATCTGTCTGCTGCAAACCTGTTGACCTATCTAGACCTAACTAGAATTAACTTTGCGGAATTGCTGAAAAAGAAATCCAACTCTAGCTTCATTTACTGTTAAGTCCCCCACTCTTTCAAACAGGTTCAAATCTTGCTTCCCCCAAGGCTTTTTAAACAAAATCTGTGCTTCATCAGATGTACTTTGCTGATTCGGAAAGTATGATCCTGGCTAACACCCTGTTTTATCTTTTTTTTTTTTTTTTTTTAATTGAATCAGTATTGAAGAGCTTCATCTTTCTTATCTCACTGAGAGGCTCAAGTTGACAGCTTGCTGCAAATAACTTTTCCAAAGGACAAGTAATCCATTCTATTTGTGGGTAAAACAGAACCTTACTTTCAGTCACTAGATAGCATGCTGAGTTTACTTGTTTTATTAGGATGCCTTTCTTGCTAACATGTAATACAGGTTTTCTGTTGATAATTCTCTCCAAACTTATGACTTTTACAAGGAGCCAAGCTTTATTCCTTTGTCATATCTTCCATTAAATTTGTCAGCCACAAGGTCAACCCACATGCAGCGTCTCAGTGGGAAAAAGTTCCTTTGAGAGTAGAGGACTTTCTGATTTGTAAGTAAAAGATGGGAACCACCTATCTCACATTTTTTTGTCTGCAGAATGTTCGTATTTTGTGAAGACCTGGTTCATTCTTTCTGCTTCCAATCTGAGAATGACAGATAGTCATTCATATGCCCTTAATTTTTCAGTATTGGTACGTACTTTTCCAGAAGGAGACTTACTGAAGTTTAACAAAATCTCTCCCTGTTTCTGCCTTACTATTGAATTTAAATGCTTGGCAGTCCTCACAGCTGTAGTACTCCGTGTGCGTATTTGGAGGAGATAATCACTAATAAGGAAATATTTCCTTTTTCCCTGGAGCCTTGCAGCAATCTTTTCAGTGTGTTTGACTTCATAGGGGTTGCAGCCCACACATGCCTGCTGCTGGTGGGTCTGAAGCTCGTGGGCATTGAGGCCACAGTCACGCTGACATTTTCTAGTGCATACTTGGCTGTTGAAATTTCTGGAGAGTTTTGTTCAGTCCACAGATGGACTACATAAAGAATTTTGTGAACTATGTTCAGAACAGCTTGTCTAAAATGTGGGAGACTATCAGCTGTTTCTCCTACTGAAATGGGAGACATTTTTTCCAATCTGTAGATCCCCAAGCTGTTTCTGGGCACTTGCTGGTTGATACAGGCTAAGGCAGTGACAGGGAACATGCTAGCTAACAATTTACTGCTGAGGATAATAGCATGGCAGTGCTCGGATCCATACTATGGCCCTGATCAGGTTATTGAGATGTAGCCTTTAGGCTAGTCTTTTTGCATGTTTACTCTTGACACACGATTCTTATTTTCCTGAATATTCAAAATAGTACATGAACTCGTAGTAGTTTCTGTCAGCATGTATGTTGAAAATATTTTTCTTATAGTATGACTTCACTGGCTGTTCCCTAAGCAGTTAGGCCTCAAGTCGAGGAGTCCTTAACTCTCTAGGAAGTCTACTAAACTTCTCTAAGGAGTGAATTTTGGAATTTTGATCAAAGCTCCTGGGAGAAATGCAATATCCCTCGAGCAGTGTCTCCTGGAGATCTGCACATTCCCTTAATTTCCTTTCACTAATGATGTGGCCTTGTCCTGAGACAGTTGCTACTTGCATGTAACAGATTAGAGCAGTCTGTCTTCTAAAATATCAGTCTGTTCACACCTGTTTCTGAAGACCTCCAGATAGGAGGGACAAGAAATACTGCAGGAGGAACATCTTTATCAACAGTGTTGACCAGAAGTCACAATCTTGGCTGAATACATTCAGGCAGGCTTTCATGAGAGGTTTCTTCCTGCTGTTGAAATGTCAGGCATATCATTCAGTTGACGTCTGTTACAAAACTTTAGGATTCCCTTTGCTGTACCATAAAGCCTTCTGCTTCTTCCCAGTCTGTATCATTGTTGTCTGCCATACTTTTCTAGTGAGATAGAACAAGCTAGAGGACCCTTCATATGGAAAGATAAGCCTTATTATCATCTTAAGGTCCAGCGGACTTTCAGAGGGAAACGCATGAACTCCTGACATTTCAGCCAGTTCTTATCATTGCTGTTAACACTTAGCTGTTATCTCCTACATCTGGTACTGCCATTCTGCATCACAAACTTTCCTCGGTTGTCTGCTGGAGGCTGGTCCCATCACCCATACCATGAACAGTGACTGCCCACCATGCTTCCAAGCTAGTATTAGCAAAAGTCAGAAATGTTGATGGGTGTCCTCCCTCCATCCCATCCTTTGCTTCTGAGAGGTCTTTATATTCTAGATACAAACCCTGTTTAACTTGAAAGTAGCCTCCATAGTGACTCCAGCTGGTTTCTCTGTCTTAGAAATTCTTTGCCAAGACTGAAAATCAAGCGAAAATACCTCCACCTGTCTTCTGCAGCCCACATCTAATCTCATATTTGAAGACCACCTCTTACGAAGCAGAACTTAAGCCGGAAACATAAATACAAATGAGAAGGCCTAACATGACCAGTTCCTCATACGCTGTCTGCCATTACAGGTAGTTGGCGGTTTCATTTTGTCTTCCCTGCTAACCCTGAGCAGAACCCTCCAGCAAGCAACAAATATAACACACCATCTCCAGCCCAAACTTCTTTTGTGGCTCTCAACAGAACATCAGAATCTATCCCACTGAATTTGCAGGCTACTGCCTTGCAGACTAATTGTTGCAGATGAGTAGCAGGGTAATTAAGGAAGTGAAAGATCTCCTGGAGTTGTCCAGACAGAATTTACAAGATTTAGTTACTCTCCTCTTCTCTGTCTCTTGTACGTGAGTATTAGCATGGAGTATGCATGCACAAGGCTGGTTGTTTTTTTTTTTTCTTCCTTTTTCTTCCTTACCACCAATTTTGGATGGCAGTAAGCTATCTATCTATCTATGCAACTGGGTTAGCCAGCAGTCAGCTGACTTCAGGATAACCAGCAGTTGAGGCCTTCCAAAGAAAAATAATGGATTGTCACATTGTCAGCTTTGTCTCTGACATTCTGACTCACTCAGGAGTCACAAATGCAGGATGGGCTGTAAACTAAGTGACCATGGTTATTGTAGCATTCTGAGCACTGAAGATAGAGTATTATTATCAGTAGTGTTTTGCAGAGCCGTTAGGGAGGTTACACTTCACCAGTCTCCCTATGATGGAGCTAGAGTAATTTGCTCCCTTCCAACTCTGAATGTCATAGTAATTCAAATTAGAATAATGCATTAATTAATCACAGTGACTGTAAGATGAAGGGACAATGTGTATTTTTTTTTCAAGCTGAACAGAAAAATAACCTCATCTTTCATCAGTAACGAGGCCTTGTGTGATCCATCTGTTTTTTTGTATATGAAAAATCTCTGATGAATGTTATGACAATCTTCTAATGGAATTGAGTATATCTATGTAGCTGAGGTACAAGTACAATAGATGCATCACTATTCCTTTCAATAGAGTCTGTAGCATTTTCTTGCATGTTGATAGTTTGTGTAAATTGAAGTTTGTTGGTTAAGTGAACTTGTCTTCAGCATTGAAATTATAATGTTCTGCTGTCAGTGCTACCTGTCTACGTTTGGTAAGCAGCCCTGCTGTCCTGAAATGTTCAGAGATAAGAGACAAGTTTTTATAGAGGTGCAGTATATTCACTGTATCTTTTAATGCCACTAATTTTGTGCTTTGATGTCACCTGATCATTAGTCCTAAAGCATCTGGAATACTCAAATTCCTTATCTCTGGAATATGGTTTTGACAGAAAATGTGGCAAATACAGAAAACAGTTTGTGTGGACTGCTACAATCTGGACAGGCTTGATGAAAACCTGAGAGCTTTCCTATCTTTTGGAAAGCATAGAAAGACAATTCCTCTCAAAAAGACTGTGAGGTGCTCACATAGTAGGTATGGTGGTTCTTTTTGCAGTTGTCACCAAACACAGCATGGCAATTCTTTTTCTTGCAGTTGATGGATCAGCTATAAGTTAGTATCACAGAGGGGCTGCCATATTCTGTTGCAGCATTGTGACATCTAGATTGAAGTTCACTGCAGAGAAGTTCACAAGTACAGTTAACCTTTTTTTTCTTCTAAACAGTATACCTTCACCTTCTGAATTTCTCCAAATTAACTGGCTTGCAGGCTGATTGACGTAGTTCTGCTCACCATGTTTTGTAGTTGATTCTGCAATGGCAGTAAAAGTTTGCTTCTTTCTCTGTAGCACATGCTTCTAAAATGCCTTTGTGCTACTGGTGGATGGATCCTGGTTATAGCTTGTACCTAATCATACTTTCAATTACTAGCAGGAACAGAGGTTTGAAGTATTATTACAATAGCTTTAGCTTAAGTCAGACATCATTAGCTACCAGCATTAGCCTTTCAGTAGATGACTATGTTAAACATTTACATTTGAGACATACTGGCTTCTGCAGTATCACATTAGAATCTGCGTTCCAAATACTAACGGCTCTCAATACAATTTGGTCATTCAGCTACCATATGCTCTGCTGTGTTGTGATGCAAGAAAGAAACATGCACATGTAACATCCACATCGGGTCTTTCCTTTGCAATTTGAAAGTATACATTTTAAATTAAAGACAATTGTACTAATTGTGTGAGAAAGACAGAAATGCTAACTGATTGGGACATCTTCATCCTTATTAGAGAATGCAGAAAATGAAGAGAAAGCATTCTATTTTTATTCAGAGCTATTCTGCCAAGTCATCATGAAATTCATCCATTTTAAGGGCCTGGAACCTACAAGGATTCACAGTTTGTGTGGTTACTAGTAACCAGCAGAACACTATTTCTGTAATCTGACATGACTGATTACAATTTTAAATGCATATATAGTCACAGTAAACCTATAATGCTGACAAGGATTAGAAAGAATAACTGAATTGTTAGTGTCATAACAGTGTCTTAAGTCTTTACAGTTCACTGCCTCATTCTTTTTTATCTTCAAGGGTGCCTCAGGTAATAACGAATGTGTCACTGCAACACCTTCAGGATAGGCAGTGCATTCTTGAGTATGAAGTGCCTGCCACAAAGGGTATGAATCTTAATTTATACCAGTGCATCATTTTCCCTTAAAGGGCAACAAAAAACTGAAATATTTTAAATTCCAGATCTTTCAAAAAACTGAAAGAAAACATCTGAACTCGCTACTATAAGTTAAAATTAAAAAAATGTAGCCTACTTGAAAAATCAATGTATGAACCAGCAACTGTGCATAACGATCTTGCAGAAGAGCCATTTCTGGGGGGTGCTCATGCTATTCCTTTTGACAATTAAATTTTCTAATAATTGCTTGAGTCTTTCCAACCACCTATGTATACCATTCAGTGGCTGCAAAAGGGTTTTCTCATGAAATACCCATCTAAATCCATATGAAACATTGTTGTCAAAAAAAACAGTTTAAATAGCAGCAGGAGATTAAGAAAAGTCCTAAAACTGAAGATAACAGATGGTATATCTCAAATTGCATGCTTTAAGTAACTAGTGTGTGTCTTGAAATGAAAAGAAGCTTGCACCTAGAATTATACTGTGCTGTCCACTTCCGCAGAAAGAGAGAGGATAGTTGGGAGCTGTTTTTTTTTTAAGCAGCAAACACTTGTCTTTGTACTTTCTCTAATAACAGCTTTGCTCTTCAGGTGTTTAATTAAAGGGCACTTTATATTTGGCAATCTGGGTATCAGAGATAAGGACACAGCATAGCATTATTGCTTCATTTTGCCTGACTATTTTAACTTCCAGGGTTTTTTGCTTTCATCAGTGCTTACAAAGTAAAGGGGGAGGGGAGAAGAATAGGCATACTTTAATAAGGTTCAATTTAGACCAACAAAGTAACAAGTTAGAGAAAAAAAAGCAATTACTTAAAAATAGTTGTATTTATATTCCACCATTTGCTCAAATACTGTTTTTTGGTTTTTTTTTTCTGTTGTTTTTTATAAACTTTCTACAGGATGTTTAAAACAAGTTCTTCACATTGCTTGTCAACTATATACTTAGGGAAACTGAGGGAAATAGTTCTGGTTGTTTTTACAGTTTAATACATGTACAGTACCAAAACGATGGTGGTTAGTCACATGCAGTCCATATGAGATTCTAACATAACATTTAATGAGTTTTCTGATGTTGACCATCCTTTTGATGCTGAAGGTAATGCATCTGTAGAAAGCAGTGACTGTAGATTTGGGTTACTGCTCTCTGCATCTTCCAGTTTTTCAGTGTTGTCCTCCCAGTTAATGTGGAATCTTGTGACCCTGGGATTAGACGCCAAAATATTCCTTTGAAGCTGGGTGGGAAGAAAAGAAATAGATTATATAGTGTTTGTGTCTCTAATCAGAATTCACATTCATATAGGTTTTTTCCTTTTACTCCTGCAGCCATATATGTGCAAAATAATTTGTTAATGTAATTGCAAATCTGTAGCTACTACATATGGATAAAAACATGCTTACAGAAATACACCACTAGTCCATTTGCTTTAATATCCAATCCAGCAAAATAAAAGCATCCTCCTAAGAAAGCAGTTAAGTATTCTGTGAATTCAAGACTATACAACTTTGCAAGTAAAGTGCAAGGGTTTTACTTTAGGCAGTGCTTATTAAAGCAAATAACTACTCCTACAAACATTCCGTGTGCCGCATGACTTGATAAAATTCTGCATCAATTTCATGGTGTTTACCATAATTTTACTGCTTCCATCAACTGTTTCTCCTCATTTAAGAGAAAAGCTTTTCCTTCCATTAAATGGCTATGCTTTTGATTCATCTTAAAGTGAAAAAACATTACTCTGATTTGGTAGTGGGCACACCTTGAGACCAGTCACATTTTATTCTTATAGTTGGCCTTTATTTTTCTTTGAAGAATACAGTTAATTTTGAAGGATGGCAAATTATCACAACTGACCCCTTATCTCATTAAAGTTAAAACTGGTCGTAGAAGAAGTCTTCCTTGTTAGTAATGTTTATTTTACTCCTCAATGAAGGGCTCTTTTTAAATATTTCCCAGCCCCTTATGCAAACTAAGGTGACCTGGTAGGTCTGCTTCCCATCAACAATAGTTGAACGTGTTTAATGACCTTACGTTCCTCTTGCACATTTAAGTTCTGCCCTGAAGTCATATTAAGACTGTTTTGTACAAATACATGATAGCTTTTGCTGTTCTTTTTCATGCAAGCAGTTTTTATATTTAAAAAAAAAACAAAACAACAGAATTATGACAAGATATTTCTAAATTCAGTTGCTTAAAGAAAGTTATTCTAGCATTCACACCAAAAATAAAAGATTTCAATGACACAATAAATAAAAAGGAACAGATTATAAGTTTAAGAATCAAAAATTAACAGTAACTGTGAATTTTGAGTACACTTAAAGCATCTGATCCTTGAAAATAAAGTCAAGCATAAAAAATCATCAGCAACTTTTAAAAAACAGTTTACATACCATTTTAATTAAGTTACGTTTGAGGATCTGTTTCAGACTATGGGAATTATATCTGTAGTCATTACAATACATACATTATTCCACTCAGTTCTTCATATACCTGTATAATTCATATAAACTTGAGAAATAGCCCAATTCTTTTTTTAATCATGACCACCGTGGACATGAACGTGCACACATCAGCTTTCATAAAGAGAAAACTCCGATTCCACAAGATCGTTTACTAAAGCAAGCCAGGATACAGTACAGAACTTTGTGTGTTTGTTCCACAGGAGTTGGTCTGACTAGTTTTTGATGTTTAATTGGCTTTTCTCCTCCAAACAATTCTGTTTTACATCTCGTTTTTATTCTACTGCTGGTTCAGTTTTTAACATGGAAGTAACTATGTTTTTCAAGTTAAAATATAAATTTCTGACCACGTTGTCCACTAATTGAATAGTCATCCAACCTGCTCTTACCAGGTTACCCATCTTCTCTCTTTTCATAGGTAATTTGTTTTTCAGTTTCTGCTTTGCAGAAAATCAGAATAGTTGTGTAGGGACCGTGTTAAAACTTCAATTTCAGATCCCAATTTCCTGTCCTATAGAAAAGTTTTTTTTTTTTTTGTTTTTTTTTTTTTTTTTGTTTTTTTTTTTAAGAACAGAGCCATTTTGTCAACAGTAATTCAAGTAGAAGGAACCCAGTCTCTATTTCTTTTCAGGAGTATAAACTCATACTGACATCCAAACAAAGCTTCAAATTAGCAGAAATTGTTACTGATTTCTGAATGTTCTCCAAATTTGTGGCAAATACATGGTACTTCTACTTTGTCTCCCAGTCTTTTTGTGCTATTGAAACATAATTTATAGGATCATTTGGAGTTGGAGTTTGATTCTTAAAAATATTTTATAAGCATACAATAGATAGACTGAATGTGCCTTACCTTAGAAAAGTCTGGTTTTACTGGTGGATTCTCTCTCAGTTCTGTTTCAGTATATTCGTTGTTTACATAGTAGCCTACTCTAATAAATTCTTGACCTCGATATGTGCATGTAATTAGCACTACTGTTACACCTACTGCATCTGCATCTGGAATAAGCCCTGGGTTAGGAGCATCAGCCTAGATGAGAAAAGGAAAGATTTATTAGAGTAAAATCAACACCGTACGTCTGTCTAGCAGGGCAATCTCAAGTAGTATCTCCTAAAACTTAGCAGAGAATGTATGTAAATTTAAAATGTTTCTTTCAAGTTAACCTGAAAGCAGACCTGCTTTTATAAAAAAAAAAAAACCAACCCTGAATTTAGGATGGTACCCTCTAGAGAGGGAATTACTTACAACCGAGTAATAGTGTGTGCTGACATTTCTCCAGGGTGATTAGACAGCTTTGATCCAAAACTGCTTTTCAATACATAATTAGCTGAGCTGTTGTTTGAACAAGTGTGCCAATAGCTCTCTAATTCTACACTGCCATTATTCTCTAGCCCACCTTAGTAATTCAGTGGAAGTATGTCTTTCCATACCTCTTAGGTTGACTTGATCTGTACGCATTTTTTAACATGACTAACATCTCACAAATACAGACCATAGTTTGTATTTCAGCAAAAGCAGCCACAGGCTACAGTGAGGTCTGGACTATCCCCCAAAAGTCTAGGAAAGGAACAAACTATTTCTCTCATCTGCTTCCACATGTCTATGTTTCCTAAAATGCATGTAGTTAAATGCACTGACCACTGCGGGACATCATACATTTTGAGCCAGTGTACAGTCCTCATAGACAACTAACACAATTTTCCTTAGCATCCTTACTTTCTGTAGTACTGTAACTATTAATAATCAATAAAGGTTACTTCATAAAATGCAGTTTACCTTGGTCTCTTAAAATGCTTTCTAACCAAACACTTGGTGATAAATATGTGGTACCTCCTCCTCTAAATTTAGACTAACAGCAATTTAAGAATAAATGAAAAAGACTCATGTTTACAATTTTGCATGGCAAGTCCAAAGCTAATAATGAACACTTTTGTTCTGAGTATAAATTAGTATTAATTATGTTAGAATAGTTCAGGTGTATTGAATCCTGCCTTAAGACAGAGGATGAATGGCATTAATTTTTGCTGTCCGTCTCATCCCTGTTTTTCTCTAGTATTTATATGCTCTAGCACCGTGAAATTCAGGAGCTAGTAATCATGCATCACTGACTTCTGCTCTTTGCTACTTCAATTTTGAGCCTTCAAACCAGTCTGGCTTTTTGTAAGAAGCTACAGGCACTTTACAGAACAATTAAATGAATTGGACCTCTTGGGTATAAATACACCAGGGAACTGGGTAGACTCCCCCAGCCCTGAAGGGAGCATGCAGTGACCAAATGACTTTATAGCTTGTCCAGGGCAACGGCCAAGGAAAAGAAGCATAGAGGCTACAAGAAAACACAAGAACTGCCAATATATGAATCTGCTACATTCAGTCATCCTACTCAGTGCCTGGGGCCATGTGATCACCTGAAATTCCACAGTAGGCAATTATAGAATAATACACTCCAAAAGTACACTCTTCCATTTAATTCCCTAATTCCCTACTCAGCTAGCACCTAACATGGTATTTCAGCTCTTCCTGACTGCCACTGGCATTTCATGTCCCATAATATGTTATGATATGATACAGCTGTGAACTTGCAGAAATACTGTTCTAGTCCTACTTAGCTACTGACTACTGTTTTGTTGAGTGGCAATGACATTGAACGTGATTCTTAAAACAATCTGCTATCTTTTCTCAAATGTTTAACTCCTTGCCTTGGATATAAAGCCTCCCAGTTCCATAGGGAACAGGTAGCCATATACAGGGATACACGAGTGGTTGCAAACAGATGTTGTGGTAGGCAAAAAGAAGTAGCAAGATTAACTTCCACATAAAAAAAAAAAATCACAGTCTTCATGTGCCATTCTCATGCTAATAATTATTTAAGGATTTTATGAAATCACTCAATGTGTATGTTGTATTGAATTATCTTGCTTTTCCACACAAGACAACAGATATGCATTTAGCTATTACTAGAGTAGCTAAATTAGTGTACAGTCGTATCTCCCCGTAAAATTATAAATAATTTATAATCTCCAAAAGAATTTACTGTAAATCCCCAAATGCATAGAGAGAGAGAAGGCATCAGGGTTCATTAGCTCTGTCTTGGTATTTTAATCTAAACAGGCAAGGCAGTATGCCTTTAATATTGAAATCTTCTAAAATGTTAAGAATTTAATTGTCCAAGTCTGAGAAGCACAACAGTTTGCCACCTTTCTGTATGCAACACTAACATACCAACCTGATACACAGCACCTTTTTCACAAAGGCAGTTTTATCACCCTCAGTATTATATGTGTGACACTCCATTTTATTTGCTATTTCAGCGATTTCTGTATTTAGAAAAGTCTACAGCATATTATTAGCTGAAAATTTTATGCGTTTCTGCAAAGGTCTTTTTGCTGTGTTACCCTGACAAAGACCACTTCTTTGGTTTATGTATATGCCTCCTGCAGCTCTGCAATGCGCCCCATTCTGCCCTTCCCTTGTTCTCTCCATCTCCCAGGCAGTATTAGTTTGGTGAATAAAGTAGCTTTAATCACCAGCAAAAGCCTACTACAGCAGTTCAGTTTTTGATAGTCTCTTACATAAACGTTAGCTAAATCCTCCCCTCACCTGAAATCCAGTGGTTTTGAAGTCTAATGTACTCAGACCACCAACTCAGTCTCTTACCTATTCGAATGTAAGCAAGATGCTTGCATGCCCACTCCTAGTTTAGCTTTAGTGTCATTTATAAACACTCACATCCATTTAAAATGGAAAGGAATCCATTCTACTGGAACTGCAAGACCAGTAAATTCAATTTTCAAGCCCCTCCTATTATGACACAACAGTTTTTTAGGCATTTGCCCCCCTGGTCCTCCCCGTTATGACTCTCTGTAACTTGACTGAAAATAGTGCAGTATATCACATTTTGATAACAAAAGAACTACTGGCATACGATGCATTTGTTATGAACATGATGAACAAGATCAACAGCATCTTCATTTTCTGTGTGGAAAAAAAATAGGGCTCCAAAACAAAACAGAAACATTTCAACTCACACAAATAATTGGTTAATAAACATAGCCTCCAACCCAAACTCATTCCTTCAGTGTGTCCTGAAAGGCAGGGGAAAATAATTCTTCATTTGAAAGTTTCAGAACCTGAAGTTTTCAAGTAATTGAGACTTACACTATGAGCCTGATCTAGTGAGTGGCAACCCTGCTCACAGCAGGTGGTTCAAATCTGGTGGGCTAAGTCCCTTGCAGCCCAACACATTCTGTTATTTTATTATATAAAATTATCATCACCTACAGGAACCATGCCTTTATCAGTGTATCTTATATTGATACTACAAATGAAAATATTGCTATGGAAATACTGGGGGCAAAGTATAAATCTTAAAGAAAGGTGCGTGATACCTGAAGAGCTGACTGAAAGTTTTTCAAGCTATTACTTTTCAAGTGCCTCTTAGCGCGATAGTCATTTTTAAGGATCAAAATAACTAATTCCTTTAGAAACAGTTAATTCAAAACTTACCTGAAATACAAACATGTGTCTGCCTGCAGGAACAGGTCCTACTAAAACAGAGTCTAATACTTGGTCATACTCCTCACTTTCAGCTGAACCCACATAAATTATCTTCCATTCCAAATCTGCAGAACAAGAATTAAATAACAAACATTATTTATCATTACAGTTAAGGGTCTTCCACTCTTGACTGTCCATGATTTTGCTTAGTTTAAAATTGTTTCTTTGGCAACTGGTATAAAGGATACGAAACTTGCCTTCATCAGGGGGAGGAAGATGATGCTTTCCCCAGTCCTCATGAACTAAACCACCCCACCACCTTTCTCTAGTCAGTCAGTACTGCAGGAGTCCCACTATTTTCATAGGCAGGTTAAGCTGTGGTTGTTCTATACCAGGCAGGGTCCATTTACTCATTAGGACATGAGTTTTCCTCAGCCTGCAGGATTGTCTCCAGTATTCTGGATTGCAACTGTTTTTCCTCATTAATGAAATCGTAACCCTTCAAACAGCACAGCATAACTGACCAGGTTCTGTTTACCCCAAAAGCACCCCAAAAGTGTTAGCTAGTTGGGCACTGCAGGCGCTCATTGGGTCAGCTGATGACCTTTTGTTGGAATCTATGCAGTTTGCTGCGTACAAGGAGTGAGGACCTACAGGCTAGATCATTTAAGGCTATTATACCATCACTTGCTCATTCTAAACCAGTAACACTTAGTACTGAAAAACATGCCTTTGAAAGATAACTTATACCTTTAAAAGTTTGATCTGATACTGCTGAGTAACGATGACATGGAATAATTTAAAAATGGGGGGAAGTGAACTCAAAGAATTTAGTTTTAAGACAAGTGGTACACATGGCTGGCTGTAAACAGGCGAGTAGACATTAGTACACAAATGCTAAGGAAATGACAGCAATTCATTCTTTTGGAAAAAGCTATTTAATCTCATTTTTAAGCGTGAAAAATAGCAGTGCTTACCCTAACTGTATCCTGTAGTCTAACCTTTATCAGATGGGGGAACTGAGAATTTTGAACTGGGCCACCGCTAATTAGCAATCTGACCATCCAGATTTAACCACAGTGTTAAATGCACACAGTGAGGAGCAGTGACACAACGAAGGAAAGGCACGGTGATGCCCTGTCCTGTTCTGCTGGGGGCACTGCTGCGTGCCACACTGTGTGAGAATTCAGGTGCTGCTGTCCCGAGTGAGCCCTGACTGCCCGAGGCAGGGAGAAGCAGCCACAGGCATCAGGGTGGATACTTAGCTCACTGGTGCAGGCTGCTCGAGCTGAGATGCTGATTAGTTTCAGGATGGGTGGAAGAGGCCTGGAGGAAACCCAAACGCAGACAGGACTTTCTCAAAGTTCCTGACAGCACCGCCAACCCTCCGTGTCTGCCACTGCCTCTAACAGTGGCAGAAACCCGTGCCGAGAGAGGCAAACAGGGACAGAAACGTCCCCAGTCTCCATTTCCGTAAGTTTCCCTCCCTGCCTCCCGCCGCTTTCTCGGGCTCCCCGGCGAGCAGGCGGCACTGGGCCCCATCGGGGCCGGGCCGGTAGCGGCACCTGTTCCCGGGCAGCTCCGGCGTAGCGGCCTCCGCCCCCGCTCGGGGCCGCCGCGCAGCCCGCAGTTTCCTTCGCCGTGCGCCGCCTCGTTCGAATCTCCCGCCCGGGGGTTCCCGCGCGGACTCTCGGGGCGCCTCCCGCGGAGAGGCGCGGCGCGGCCTGCCGGCGGCGAGGAAACAACGCTGCGGAGCGAGCCGGGCCAGACCGGGCCGGGAGCCGCCCGCAGCCCGTCGGGCAGACGGGAAGGCGTGAGCCTGGCCGAGAAGGGGCTCTTAGCCGCGTCGCCCGCTCCGGGGTCCCCGCGGGGCGGCGTGCAGGGCGGCGCCAGGCCGCCTCCCCCGGCGGCAGCCGGTAACTTTCGAGTGACTTCCAAAAATAGTGGCTGCCGCCTCCCCCTCCTCCCGGCACGGCTCGGCGCCCCCGGACCGCCACCCGCCGGGCCCCGAGCATTGTGCCCACAGAGAGCCGCCTGCCCGCCCTGCCTCCCGTTTTTTTTTTTTTTTTTTTTTTTTTTCTTTTTTTTTAAAGTGTTAAAATGGAGCGCGAGGCCCCGCACCGCTCGCTCCGAAACGCTACCCGCGCTGCGGCTACTGCCCGGGCGCAGCGGTGCGACCGCGCAACAGTTCCGCTCCCGCGTCGCGGGGCCGCGCGGCGCCCTGCCCGTCCGCCCGCTCCCGCTCTGCCCCCCCACGCACACACAAAGCTGGCAACATGGCTACCACCACTCTAACAAGTTCCTCGCAACTTGAAGGCGGCCTCAACGATGGCGCGGCGGGGAGCGAAGCGGAGCGGCGGCCCCGGAGCCGAGAGCCCGGAGCGAGGGCTCCGCCGCTAACTTTCCCCGCCGGGCTCGGGCCGGTCGGCCCTGCCGGAGCTCCGCATCCCCGCGTGGCGGCACGGCTCTGCGGGGAGGAGAGCCGTGCGGCGGCGGGAGCAGGCCCGGGCCGAGGGGAGCCCACACGGCCCCGCATCCGACGGCCCGGGGCCGCGGAACCCGCGTCCGGAGAGCGGTACTCACCTTCCGACAGGTCCTCTATGCACTCAAATGTGATTTCGAACTGGAAAGGGTTGTAGAAAGGAGAAGGGTTGTCCAACACCACTACATTGTTCACCTGAACCTTTGCCATATTTTGAAAAAAACACAATAGGAGGAGCGCGTGAACGCCGCACGGCAAAGTCCCGAGCGGTGGTCTCCGCCGCGCACGAAGCCCCGCGCCCCCGTCGGAGCGAGGCTGCAGAGCCGCGACTCGGGGAAACTTTTCTTCCCCCCTTTTATTTACACCGGGAGCACTCCACACTGTTCGCAGCTTTCCTATTTCACTCAACTACGGCCCATTCTGCCCTGCTCGCCGCCAGCGGCCGCCCGGATTGGCCGCGCGCTGGGCTAGGGCCCTCCTCCCCGAGCCGAGCGGAGCCGAGCCGACCGCCGAGCGGCGGCAAGACAGGCTCCTGCGCCCGCCCGGCCCCGCCGCGCGGCTCGGCGCCCCCGCCCGGCCAGCGCCCGCCACCGCCGCCAAACCGTCCTCCAGCCGCCGGCCAACGGCCGCGCGGCACGGGAGGGGCCTGCCCGAGCGGGCGGGGCCGAGCGCGGAGCCGGGGGGCGGTCCCAGCTGCCGTAGGCCGCGCCTCTGCTCGCGCGTGGGTTTCCGCCATGTGCTGTGGGCTCGCTGGTTTTGTTTGTCCGGGGATTATTGTTATTATTATTGCTTGTTTAATTCTTTCTGCGAGCCCGACGTGTCAGGCGGTACGTGCTGGCTGGGGGGCTGCCCGGCCGAGCCCGCGCCAGCCGCGCCGTGCAGCCCCACGGGGGCCGCTGTGTGAGCGGCCTCCTAAAAACCGTCATCCCGTGGCTGTGCTGTAATGAAGGGCCTCCGGCGGCGCCGCGCGCCCCGAGCACAGGCGGCCCGGGGAGGAGGCCATTTTAGGCTGCCGTGTGCGGGGATGGCAGCGGTGTCATGTCATCGACCGCCGCCGCGCTGGGGAGAGCCATGCCAGGGGCTGGGGGTGTGAGGTATTTTTTCTCAGATTCCCTTCAGAGAAGCGATTCCCCGAGGAAATAAATAATGCGTTTGGGCAGTAATCGTGCCTGCAGGGAACCCTTGAGTGTGCAGCAGGAAGGTGTGGAGCAGACATCTTGCCTGAGCCATGCAGGTGAGGAGCAGAGTCTGCCATGTCTGCAGTGAGAGCAGCACTGAGGCCGTCAGTTCTTAATGGTCCTCCAAACCACTGCCGGGTTTGGAAAGGGAATTACGTTTCTGTATTTACAAAGAAGTGTCACCATCTGAAAGTTGCCTCATCTGTTGCTCAGCATACGTTTTTAGCATTCTTCATGTCAGACACAAGGCCCGATTGGGCACAGTAGAAGAGGTTCCTCACAACAAGCTAAAATTACTGTCAGGAAACGTATATTGCCAATAACTTCTGACTGATCTGCATAGAGATGAGGAGGCAGCAGCATCTTCCCTGGGACATGGGAAGTGCTGGGTGGGGAGATCGTTGGGCAAGCTTTGCTGTAGCGTTTCAGAAGGCTTCAGGCTAGCAGCAGCCTGTCAGCTACCAGGATATTTTGAGCAGAGCACTTTGTAGTGAAAAAGAAGGGCTAAAGATAGAGAAAAGACTGGGAAGTAGGGACTAGGAAAATGGAAAAGAGCTGCATATACTTGATAGTGAGCAGCCGTTATCACAGCTTTGAAATGTTTCTGACCTTCCACGCTCCCAGTGTCACTGTGCACATTCAGATGCCTGCTGGAAACTTATTTTGTTCATTTCATTTTGTTCATTTCATTTTGAATCTATTTATTTTTTCTAAGCTTTATTCTTCAGCTCTGGAATATTTGTCTATTTAAGCAGTTGGTGGGTAAGGAGAGCTGAATGCATTCATTCTGTAAATTTGTGGGCTTTGCAGTCACCCCAGTTTTCAATTTAATCTAGCAGATTTGATTTTTTCACCCTTGTTAATAAGGAATTACTAAGTTTGGAAAGCTTAGCAGAATCTGCTCTACAGATCAGGGCTAACCTGCATAACACTGGTGGGATTTTTTACCAGCAAGTGTAAATGAGATGCATGGTAGTGATATGTGGTGGAGTTAGCCTGCTGTTTCTCCTTCTGTCTGTGGCACAAGCCAGCGTGCCATGTCCCATTCTTTCACTCTTGTTTGCTCCTGAATCTGAGAAAAAGACTGACTGGAATAATTGATTCTTCAGGTTTGACAGTGACTGCTGTGAAGGACTTTGGGGAGTGGAACTTGGAAGCTGGAGCACTGGTGCTTGCAGATGGAGGCCTTTGTTGTATTGATGAGTTCAATAGCATCAAAGAACATGACAGAACCAGTATCCATGAAGCAATGGAGCAACAAACCATCAGTGTAGCAAAAGCAGGGTAAGTGGCATGTTAACATATGTGACAAAATAATGTTTCTCGTACACTTACAAATTGAAGAGATGCTTTTCATGCTAACAGATTACAGCTGTTTTCTTTATTGTACTACATAGTTTTGTTCTCAGTGATATTGGTCGACAGGGTGAACTGACATTTCATAGACATACATCGTTCACTTATCATAGAATCATATCATAGAATGGCCTGGGTTGGAAGGGACCACAAGGATCATCAAGCTCCAGCCTCCGTGCCATAGGCAGGGCCGCCAGTCTCCATACCTAATACTAGATCAGGCTGCCCAGGGCCCCAAACTTCCGGATTTTCAGTCTACTGCTGCGCTTAGACAAGGACTCTTTCCTAAAAACTGTGTTCTTGTCATTTTGTGGGAGCTATCATAATAATTGTATGTGAAATGAGGAACCTAGTGAAGTTAGTATTGGAACTCATAAAGCAGGATTTCATTTCTCCAATATCTAATAATACTGGATTTCCAGACTGCTCCAACTTTTATGTTGGGCAAGGCATGAATATAAATTCCTACTTGCATTCATGTCCACTCTTTTTAAACCAGTATCTGTTCAAATCTGCTGCTTCTTACTCTGCCAGTTTGATCTCTGAGTTCAAACCTCTTTCTCTCAGCTATGAGCTGCTCATGTCTGGGCCCAGATCATCCCCTGGCTGATATTAGTGAAGTCTGCTACTCAGAAGGCACCATCCATTCCACATCCGTCCTTGTTCCCATCCACTCTGGTCTTGCTCCCATCACATCTTCTTGTATCCTCTAGTTGATCATGTCCTTTTTTTTTCCGGGCATCTGCACTGAATCTTTCTCCAGCCTCTTGTGCTCTTCCATTTTTTCCACTTTACAACTGACCTCCTCTTCCCTTCCTGTCTGTTGCATTCTCTTTTGGGATTTTGCTCAACATTTCCTGTTGCCTGTATGACATCTAATGCATCACCTTTTCCTTATGTTATATACTATGTTATACTGTGCTGTGTATTGAAAGTATGCATGAATTTGCTCAGTTTATGCATTCTTAAAAATGCATTCACTCATACTTTTTCACCCAAACCGATTTGGATGCAGCCCTTGCAAAAATACTAGGCAGAAAGTGGATAGATCATGTTCTCCTCATGTGGGGAAGTGTCAGCCTTTTTGCCAGCAGTGCAGATGGGGACAAATGGTTGGAAACAATGCAGTATTTCTGCATGATGAGATAGTGATATATTTTAGTCGGGTTCCTTGTTGCGGTTGTTTGAGTTTTGAAGACCTCAAACCACAACTTTACCTTTTACCTTTAAAGTTCTAGCTTGGTGTCAAAGTAAAGGTAGAATAACTGCTTCCTTAACTGAAACAGTTACATTGCCCCACATTTAATAACACAGACTAGGTGAGTATTGTTAAGAGAGAAAAATCTCAGTTACCCTGGAAATAGAGTTGATATGGCTGCCATCACTGTTTGACTGGGTTAATATCCAAAATGTGATTACAGACAGGAATAAAACATATGCTCCATTTTATTTTGCTTTCTTAAAATGTGAATTAAGACAAAATTTACCTTTAATTGTGAAAAAAATATACCGTAGGAATGCACAAAGTAACATTTGTTTCTGAAAAGCTATGTTAACTTTAATCAGCTAAGGATCCAGCTGTATAGAAAAATGACTTGTGGGAATATTGCCTAGCTACTTTTGATGTGCTGAGTGCAGTCTTTAGTTGCTATTCTCTCTGACTGAGAAAAGCTTTGTGTGTAATATTCATTACTACAACAATTATATGTATTGATTAGCTCTTAGCACTCTTTGAAGGTAAGATGTGGTCTTTATAACATAAAAACATGGTATTTGTTCTTAACACTTTGGAATCGTTTACCTTTCCCAGCTTAATTCAGGTGTTCATCTTACTTCTCTCTAGTTTGGTATGTAAGCTTAATACAAGGACAACCATACTGGCAGCAACAAACCCCAAAGGCCATTATGATCCTACTGAGTCTGTCTCTGTCAACATAGCTCTTGGCAGTCCCCTGCTGAGCAGATTTGACCTGGTCTTAGTGTTATTAGATACAAAGAACGAGGAGTGGGACCGCATCATTTCATCTTTCATCTTGCAAAATAAAGGTAAGAGCAGTCTTTTTAAATTATTTCCCTCCCCCCCCACCTTTCATTTTAGTATTTTATTTTTCAACGTTTTGCATGAATCGGTGTTCATGTGTTTGCTGTGATAGTTGCCTGTGGTGGTGGTTGTCTTTCTAGTAGGAATAAGATAGAGATCACTGATTAATTAGTAGAGGTGATCCGTGAACGCCATAGTTACCTTTACTCTGTGATCAGACCATCAGCCCAGCTCAGTAAGTGGGTGGTTTCCATCTTGGCCTTATTACTTGATGTGCAGATCCTACACGATACTATTTTACATGCTGTGAGTGGGAAACGTAATTCAGACAGAACAAGTCTGAGCTGCGCGTGCTACAGGACTCATGGAGTGCTTAAACAGTGTGCAAAAGCTGCATGCTGTGAAATTAGGAAGGGCAGTGTGATTTGATGTTAACCAGCCCCTCATCTGCTTTAGGAGCATGACTTTGATCCCCATTAGAGATCAAGTGATTAGAGAAACTCCTTCAGGTAGCTTATTTCGTTTTCTTCCCTTCCCAAAATGTATCCCTACAAAAAATGCTCAGAATATGGCAGGTAGTCTTTGGTTTCTTTGGAGCAGGTAAAATAGCCAGAGGAAGTACAGCAGTCATGTGGCACTTTACATTTTACACAGCACTGGAGCGCTTAATAACAACCGTACCATCTGGTGGGCAGTGAGCCTGACAGCACTGCTGTTGAAATTACTGCAGGCTCTGCTGTGGATTGTGTTAGGGGAGGGATTGGGTGGTATGTAACAATCCACACTGGAATTTAACAAAGTCCTCAAGGACTAATGTGCAGGCACTCCAAAAGGCCCCAGAAATACAGTAAAATGTCCTTTATATTCACCCACCTAATTAACAGTAATCCTTAGGAAAGGGCTTCATATCTGTCGTATGTTCACTGACGAGGCAGTCGTTACGCAGGTTGCCCTAGCAAATCAGAAAGGCTCTGGAGCATGGAGAAGATGAAAACCTACTTCTGCCTTATAAAAAGGATACAGCCAAAGTTGTCTGATGAGAGCAACCTGATCCTTGTACGCTATTATCAAATGCAGCGTCAGAGCGACTGCCGGAATGCTGCCCGCACCACCATTCGCTTGTTGGAGAGTTTGATACGCCTTGCAGAAGGTAAGGCTGGGACAATTTTATTTTTAGGCTGCCAATTAACCTTTATAGAATGAATAGATTGGAACTTTAATTATAGCCAGTGAGTGGAGTAGCAGCTTTTCTATAGAGATACAGGTAGATGAAACTTGTATTACTTTACGATCTAAAGAGATTTGGAGATTTTGAATGTAGGAAAAAGTGTTGTATTTGGATGATCAATATCAGTTTTAATTTCACTGTTCTCACAGACATAATAAAGACTAAAGCCATTGGAAGGAATTATATTAGAGAAAAAAGTCTCCAAAGATATGTGTCGTTATGAAAAGCGAATCTCAGAAATCATTTTTCTTAGTTTGAGCCCTGGGTTGCCATTCTACTCTGCCTGATGAAATGTGCAATTATTGAGAACTGTCCTGAAATGAGTAGAACGTCAGCACGTTTTTGTTTCCTTCAGCATCAGTAATCAAGTCTGTATTTTGCAGTAGGGACTACAACATTTGCAACTGTAAATTCAAGTTATATTTCATGTACAAGAACAAAAACAAAGGAAGCATAGATCTCTATGTTAACATGATTTCATTTTCTAAAATGTCATATTGACTATGTTCAAGGTGAATTTAAGAGAATATACAGTATTTTTGTATAAAGAATCTTAAATGGTCTTCATGCTTTTATATACCAGTGAGCTGTGTAGTACTTTCTGCATCAGATATTTATACTTTGGTCTCAGTTTTCAGGGGACACTATTTAGTTGAAATAAATTCTTAAGATTCTTTAAGTATAAATTCTTTAAGCTCCACATGTTACTTATGTATTTAAGGTTTCTTACATTCTTGTGTGCCTCATATTTGAGACTTCTAATAGGACTTCATTCTTTCAAAGTACTTTATAGATGGTATTAATTAAACTTTCTCACGCTGAATAAGAACCATGTTTCCACAGCCAATTAGGATAGCTTCATGTAGAAAATTATTTCAATTTGCATTATATCCACTTGAAAAAATCAGTTTTGTTTTGCTGTCTTATGAAAAGAAAGCAAGAAAAAATATAGCTACGTAGAGAAAAGCATGTTTCAGAGCAGTTAGAAGAAATTACATCTTTTCTGACATATAATAAATTATATCCCATTCTTTGTTGCCATATCTAGCATTTTATGTACAATACAACATTTTGTGTAGTGTTATTCAAACTGTCCTGTTACTGTAATTCAGAAGCACATTACATTCTTTATTTGTAAAACTAAGTCTTCTAATTTCTATTGGAATTAACACCAAAATCAAAAGGACCGTATTGATGTTTACGTTAGATCCATACACAAGTGTTTGAAGAGCTAAAGAAGTTGGAAGAAATATCATCTCCCTTGTAGTACAGAAATTGCTTTTAACTTCTAATGTACTTTCACTCATACTCTCAGTGCCCGTTTGTTTTTGCTAGCTCATGCCCGCTTGATGTTTAGGGATACTGTGACTTTGGAAGATGCTGTAACTGTGGTATCAGTGATGGAGTCTTCTATGCAGGTAAGATTTCTTGCAGACATTGTAATTGCTGTAATACCACATTAATGGATTTATCATGTAGATATATGCCAACTCCTTTAATCTCTTTTGAGAAGATTTCATGTTATCATGGAAAATAGATCAGCAGAGACCTTGACAATTAATTTTTGGTCCATCTTGATGACAGAAATCATTAAACATAGGTTATAATGGAAACTCTGGATGAAGTGGATTTTGTTATGCTATAATAATTTGCGTTTTAAAGACCGTTTGAGGGAAAAATTATTACATTGCTGTCTTTAATAGTCTGATGAATTTTTCTTGTGTGTCATTACCTTGTTGCTCATGAACTAGGCATGAGAGAACCAACCGTTTTGAGAAAGCTTCTGTTGGTTGCCAAGATCAACACTTTGCATTGCAATTAAAGTATTTTAAAACATGCTGTTGGTGATACTGAAACTCACAGAACTTTTAGGGAAATAATTTTACTCTGAGAAACCTTAATAGTTCAGTACGTTGGTTGCCATACATTGAAAATTGTGTTTTCTAGTTATCACATGGATTTGTGTAATATTTCTAAGTTAAAAGAAACAAAATAGTGAAAACAGGCATTGAATGAATGTGGAAGGCTACATTATAATTTACTGGAGCATCATTGGGATATTGAATGTAAAGAAAAGAGGCAGATTTGGAGCAGAAAAAAGGGATATGAATCTGGTAGGGGCTTTTTTAAATGGAAATTTGGAGAATATTTTTACTTCTAAAATATATTTAAAATAGACAGTATTCCTTCAGATAGAAAATTTTAAAGAGAAATAAAGATTAATGCTTTGGAGTAGAAAATAAGTAACCATAAGTAGATTATCCTGTATTTTTCACATGGGTGTGTTTTGCACTTCTGAATTATTTGGTTTGGGTTCTGTCAGAGATAGAGTACTCTACTGCACAGATCACTGGTCTGGTCCAAACTGGCATCCTCTATTTCTGTATAGATTGATATGAATAGGTCAAAATTAAAGCAATTTTTATAGCATCCATTAGCTCAAATATGTTAAAGACTTTTGCAGAAGTGGAAATGGACCTTCTTTGAAATAAAGTGCATTGAGGTAGATGTACAAAGTCACATGTGGGGGGTGGCCCTTGTGATCCCCCTTTCTCTTTCAATGAAGCTTGAGAGATTAATTGCAGTTTGTGCCACAGGTAATCTACTGTGCACTTTTGCACATGGAATTTGTCTTTAAAAAATACTGCAAGGTCTGACCTTAGTAAGTCGCAGAAGATTATTCCTCTCTGCTGCTGTTCATCTGGCACTCTGTTGAAGAGCTCAGCTTTTCAATGGCAGTACTGCATCTGAGTGAAAATAACCTGTAACACTGTATCCAACTGAAAGAGCAGAAGATACCACATAAGCGTTAACTGTAAATAAAACTAATTACTTATGTTGGAATTTGCTGGGACACTGATTTCGCATCAATATGATTTTGAGATATAAGAAACCTGAAATACTCAGATTTTTTTTTTTCATGACAGATCAAAAAGTAGAGACTAGTGAATGTGTATTGCCATCTGTAAATCTGGGAGTAGTCAACACCAATAAATGTAGGAAAAAAAGGTACTATTTTAACGACGGGTCACTTTGTCATGTTTCTTTGTCCCTTGAGGGCTGCGGTTTGCATAACAAGCATATGTCTAATCAGTGCTGGGGAGAAATGTCCCTGAATTGTGACTGTATGAGACTACCTGGGAGCAGTTTGTGTGCTCATTGTATTTGTTCTATTCATTCACTTTTAGGAGGAAGTGTGTTTTTGTAAGAATTGGCAAACTTGAGATCTGCTACTTAAGGCCAAATTTTACTTTCCACTTGAAAATTATAAATAAATCACTGAAATTATTTTTAAAGGAAGTGATTACTTTGATTTCTTAAAATCTAAATAAAAGCAACATGCAGTGGTTTCTTTTCAGAAAGTGGTTCCTTATCACTGAATTAAAAAAAAATTGTTTTTATGTGTAGATACATCCTACATTTCCTGCCTAATTGTAGAATGAGTTTGGAAATGCAGAAGCACCAATGTCATTCTTAAAGGACTGGCTGCCACCTTTCAGTTCAACTTTCAGCTTAGCAAATTTTATCTTATGTGTCATCTTTCCAACTTCTACAAAAAAATACATTCTTACCAGTGTAAAATCAAAGTTCACAGTTCTCAGGGAAGTATTTGGATATTTCATGTGAGCTTACATGAGAAGGAGTACTATCCTATTTTCATCACTATCCCAGTTTATTGAGGCTTTTTGTTTGTCTGTTTGTTTTAGCCTCTGTTCACCTTTGTTTTTCTCAGGGAGAGCAGGAGTAGTTGTACCCACTGGGCATCAGCTTTGAAATATATAACCATGTGTTCCTTTTTTTTTCCCAACTGGATTCTTACATCACAAGTTGACAGTACTCAAGCTAAAAGCAACTACTCCTTGTCAATATTTTGCTCAGTGTGTTATTACTTACTGTTCAAATGCTGTTCTACATATAGAATTCTATTTTTTTCATGTGCTTTTCTGTGGAATTCATTTCCAGTGTATTTCAGACATAGTAATTTATATTCATGCAGTCATTGTAAAGTGACAGGATGGTATTACTCCTGTTTTGTAATTTGGAGCTGATATATGCAAGAAGAAATTACCCACTAAAGCATGTCCCATGAAAAATGGTTTGGGCTTAGTTTCAGAGCAGTAGCGCTCTGAGTGTTTGAGCACATTCTCTACTGACAGCAGTTTCCTTCTGTGCACACACCACATCAAGCTCCCAATTAGGAGCTTATTGCCTTTCAAAACCTTTGCTTAGTTGTCTCACTCAGACTCATAAGAACTGGAAATTAGCACAGAGATTGAATCTCATTTTCATCAGTAGCTTTTAGCTGTCCTAACCAACAGACCGAGCTTTCATTTCTACAGCCCCTACCTCATTGTACAATTTACAATTCCTGAAACAAATAAGGAAAAACTCACAATAAAATAGATTTATGAAACAAATAAGTGTCATACAAAAATCTTTTTCATGACTTCTTTTATATAGAACAAATTTGTTATATACCTAAATGATCTGTGAAAAAAACAAACAATAACTTAAGTAGGATGCATTAATGTTTGCACAGCCAACCTTAGTTTTAATATTGCTTAATATTGGTTTTAGGGGGCGTGAATTAGCCATGTGAGTGATGTTGCTTCAGTATGAGGTTTTTTTTAAATGAACTTTTAAAATTACAAAATGGAAAAAAACCTAATTGCCACAAACAGCATCACATGAACCATATTTTCAATAGGGGCAGCCTATCGACTCAGAATCTCTATGTCTGGAGGCTGCCTTTATTGAAAACTTGAGGGCCATGAAATGCTGTATGGCAATTTCTGCTTTTAGAGACTGTCCTCTTTTGCTGCTGCTTTCCTGGTGCTTGATAAGCATGTTGTTGATCAGTTGGATTGAGCTTTATAGATTAGTCAGGAATGGTAAATGCTGGCTAATCTGTGGCAAAACAGGTGTGTGGTTTTTGTGGTTTAGTTTGTTTTGTTTTTCCAAAGAGCTGTAGTGGAATATTTTGTGTGGAACAAATCACTTTGTGCAGATGTTCTGTGCCATATAAAAGCTACTTCATTTCTCACAAGATTAGAAGTATGGAATTACTCCTAAATAGTTACATCTATTCAAAAATATTTTTGCAGTTTGATTTCTCTCATGTTGACAAGCCTTAATACCCAGGTCTTTCCATTTAAATAAATAGGAAAAAATAGTGAAAAAAATTAGCAGTCAGAACATCTTCCATTATGAAAGTTGCTTACATGAACAGAATTTTTACAAGGTATTTGGAAACCTACTTTTAATTACTAATGTCTGTTTTTAATAATGATGTTCTCAAGCCGTAGATGGACATTCTGTTTTTCTACAAAGAAATAAAATACGCACTGAGGAGGAGTAAATGGCAATCATGAGCATAAAATTATTCCGTGTGTATGAGCAACCTTGCCTGTTGGAACAGATCTAAAAGGATTCTTTGTATCACTAGAGTTCCTCAGTAAACATTTGCCACGTTAAGCTTTAAAATATCTGAGAGAGAATTCTGTATTGAATGGTCTCTGCTGCTTAAATCTGATGCTAAATAATAAGGGGAACTTATTTTTTAAAATCTCTTGTGGTGCCATAGGGAGGTGCACTTCTTGGAGCCATCAATGCCTTACACACCTCATTCCCAGAAAACCCAATGGCACAGTACCGAATGCAGTGTGAACTCATATTGGAGCGACTGGAGCTGCAACATCTTTTGCACAAGGAGCTACAAAGACTTGACAGGTATTTGCAGTGACAAAATAATTCAACAGAGAAAAAGAATCGTTTGGCAATGATTTCTAGGGAGAGTCTAAAAACACAGTCTGACCTTGGGAAAGGGCTTGTTGTTTAGAGGACGTGAATAAGCGTTGTATTAAAGTAACACTGAGATCATCACAAGATCATTTCTCTCTCTGGGTTATGGAATGCAACAATAATTTTATTATCTCAACCTATATTGGTTCCCATCATATATCTCAATTCTATACTCAGGTGAATTCCAACTGAATTTACTAGGGTACAAGATTCTGTATCTCAGCATGTGGTTGTGTAAAACATTTTGTTATTTGCTTGGTGGAAAACAGAAGATCTGCTTTGTATTTTTTTGCCGCCTTTTGTGTTGAGCTTATGATTCATGCTGTTCTTCTAATGAAAAACAGAATTCTGAATCAAAGTTCTGTTATTTTGTGGAATTTTTCTATTTTTATACACAAATTTTCAGTTTTTACTCTGGTTTTCAATTCACTGCAGTAACCTCTGGAAAGTCTATTTTCTGTTTCTAACAGAGAGCCTTTAACTCACTGGAACTGTGAGAACGCTGTAATTGGTGGGAAATAAATACAAAGTAAATACACAAATATTTGTGTAATGGGATGACATCAGGCTTTAAAGAAACTTGTAGTTTCTTGCTGTTAAAAGAATACAAATGATTAATATTATTAAAGCTAAGGGAATAAGAACAGGTGGGAAAACACATTTTTTCATTCTGATGTTTTTCAGACTTCATTTTGTAATTTATAGTAAGGACCTTAAGCACAGTGGCAATAAAAGGAGGTAAAAGTGAGGTATCTCCAATAGGCAGAAGAAATCTTGTTTTAAGAAACAAGTGTTCATAAAGGATTATTGAAATACAGTGTGGGATGGAAGATGAGATGCAAAGGTAGGATCAGGTCTGCAGTTGACCTTTCTGGCAGGGCCTTCTGTTATCTTCTTCTCAGGCTCCCTGATGAAGGGGATTTCCCATTGCTTCTGGGTAGTTTGTTCCATTATTGCTCCATCCTAGTACTCGTAAAGGTTTTCTCCATATCTCCCTGAAACCCTTGTACTGCAAATTAAGATGATTTCTTCTGCCACCCTTTTAAGTAACTTAGAGAACACTTAATGAACATTCTCTAAACTAGTCCATTCTGTATTAGAAGACTTGTCCAGTGTATTTCCCCTAAACCATATTTTGATAAAACAAGCATCTATCAGCACATCTTGGTGAATAAGGTCATTTCTGTAACTATTCATCAAAATCTTAAGTACATTCTATCAGAATAGGTCTATTAGTAAATAATTGAAATAATGATTTCTAAAAATATATGTCAATATAGTATTTTCTCTCAAATACAGTGTTTTCTGTCATATAATAGAAGAACTCTAAATTCTGCACCTTACAGAGAAGATGTTGAGATATCAAAATGAGCTCAGACTGCAACACCAGCTTCTGGAGAGCTATACATGAAACTGAGTTACTCAGATACTTGAACATTATTTGTAGCTTTTCACCATTCATACATACTAATCATTGTTAGGACAATAAAGGAAGAAAACTGGAAAAATAACTGACTACTGCTTCTTTTCTTTTTCTTTTTTTTTCACTCTACAGATTACAAAAAGGAAATTCTTGCCAGTTACAGCCTGAAGAGACAAGCTTCAGTGCTACTACAGGATGCTTGAGCAAAAATACATTTGAGTCAAAGCAAAAGTCTCAGTCAGAACCTTCAGATCAACAAAAGATTGACTCCTGTCCACAGCCTTCTTTGCCCAAAAGCAATTGTGAAGGAGATGAACACCCAGAAACCTTATGCAACCCAACACCTGGTAACAACATAGGTACAAAACGCTTGCTTAACCTTAACAAGACAGGTGATGATGGCAGCCTGGGATGGTTTGACAGCCTGGAGGACAGAAACGCTGATGCTGAAGAAACTTTTTGGAAGACATCTCCAGATAATGTGGCTTTAAAATCCACATCTAAGCCCTCCTCTTCAGAGGAAAGAAATTCTTCAATCCCAAGGAGAGAAAATGAAATAAGAGGGTCACTAACAACTGTTACTCTGTGTGCTTCTTTGGAGCAAGACAAAGGTTCTGAGATAAGCAGCAAAAGGACTGAGGAACACAAATGTTTTTCTTCAGAAACAAACATTCAAGACCCAACGTTAACAAGTGCCAGTATGCAGGAATCAGTTATTACACACCGGGTTTCTAAAAGCCTGCAGAGGCTGCGCACAGAGAAATCACATGGATTCTTTACTAGCACACAGAACTCTGAAGCAAAGGCCCTTCCCTCAGTATTACCTGTGTCTGGCCTGCTGGATCTTTCAAGTGATACAGACTCAGTAGTAGGAGATGAAAATAATAGTGCATCTGCAGCAGCAAAACATGCAGTAATTTCCATGAGAAAACGAAGTAAAGGTCAAGCAGGGAAGGAAGCAAAGACAGTACGTTCTCATGAGCCAGAAATTACTGGCAGTGAAAGTCCTCCAGCAGTTAAACTAGCTAAATTTTCTTTCAGACGGAGGACAAATCATGATCATTCTTCTGAGAAGAAAAATGCAGAATTTTCCCTTTTTCCAAGTGAAAATACTGTTAAACCAGGAGAGCAGCTCCAGGGAGAGCAGCTGCCAAAAAATTGCTGCCCACCTGAGAAACACAAGATGACACTGACTCGCTTAGGAAAAAAGAGTTTGGAAAAGCAATCAACTGGTAATAAAGGGAATGAAGAGCAGCTGAGTCAGGCCTTAGGGAAAGAGATGGGAGGAAATGCACTGCTGCATTCTGATGTCACACTTGATGTGTCACCTCCACCCACTGAAAAAAGAAGAGATGGAGAGGAGAAGCTTGGTGGTCCAAGCGCAGTGAGAGTATGCTCCAGCACATTAGAAAACCTCTCTAGGTTCTGCTTTGTGTCACGTCCTGACTCAAAATCAGAAACTCCACCAACTGTCAAGACTGACACTAACAACAAGGAAAGCCACAGCCCATCGCTGAAGGTGCCTGTGAGCAATCCTAATAAAAGGAAGAGTTTTGCATTGGGAAACGCAAGTAAAGACAGTGCGGTCACCCGAAAATCTCTCTTCTCAATAGCAGAGCTGGATGATGCTGCATTAGACTTTGACTGGGATTAAGAGTGCATTTTATGAATGGGATTAAGAGGTTAGGAAAAACCCAAGTTTGTAACGTGTATTCTCCAAATTACTTAACACATAGCTTTTCTGAATCTACATCCTTCTGTTAATTGTATCAACAGTATCCATAGGCTACTAAAGCATTTAAAAATAGTCTTGAATGCCTGTTGATACCAATGAACATACTTTAAGGGCTGCATACTTTACATCAGCCAAAGACTGTGTATACTACAGGCTTTATGTGGCTTTTCATTTTATGAAGTCTTCCCGAGAATGCTAATGTGGATTGACTGTTCTGAATGATCTGATTTAACCCAAAGGCTCAAATGTTTCATATATCCAGAGTACAGCGGCATTAGCAGAAAAGCAGGTTTAATTGTCCTTTTTTTTCACGTAGCAGTTGGAACTATGTGTGATACAGATCGTCCTTTTGAGTGACCGCGCTACTTTGGAAAAATGATGATGCTAAAAGCTATGTCATTATGTTTTGTTTCCCTATATATGTTTGTTTTCAGCATAGCTAGCTATATTGTGATTTATCATCATGCTGTGCTGAATATCCCCATATCATCAATATCATAGCAACTTTGCTACATATCTGGCTACTGTGTTCCTTATCACACTGCTGATGTTGAAGATATGTATCTAGGGCTTTTTATTTCCGATTTTTTTTTAAATTATTATTTTATTTCAGTTTTAAATACATTGATTCAGATGTTTGTATCTGTATTCTGGGTCATTTTATCAAAACCCAGTTCTGTAATAAACAGGTAGTTCTTCATGGCAGAGAGAACAAATTTCACGTAACTGGAACTTCTCCGCAATCAGAGCAACTTTAATGCAGGTGTTAAGCCTTGGCATATAAACTGCACTTCAGACCTAGCTTCATGGTGAATAGTTAACCTAGCACAACTTAATTGTGCCTCAGAAAATGTTTAATTGACTATTTAAATTATGATTAGTGTTTTACTACTAGTTTACATCAGTTTACATCTGATACGGTTTACCTTCTGTGGCATGCTGCAATCCTATGTAATTCATTTGTCTGATTGGAAATTAATCTACTAGTGTATTACGTGTTTACAGAGAGAAGCAAGCCTTGAATTTCCTTCCATGACTTGTCAGGTATGTTTCTTCTGTGTTTGAATTCTCCACAGAATATTCTTGTAATTACCTACAAGGTAAACAGAGAATGAAATGGTTGCTTATGGCACAGTAAATCCTTTGAGAGTCTTGCTAGCACAAAGAAGGTCTTATTTTTCTTGATTTGTTTAAAATTAGCAGTAGCTCCCTTGAAACTGGGTAAATTAAAATAGTGTAAAATTTCAGGAAATGAGGGGGAGTGGTAAGACCCAAGTATTTCAGTGTGATGCAGTGAAATCATGAAAACAGTAATTGCAGTGGGTGACTTACTGCTAGGAGTTTGAGAAATGACAGAGACATTGTAGTCCATACTGACTGTATAGTAGTACTCTGCTGGAAACGAAAGAAATGGACTTCATCTACCTCTCTCCTAGAGCATAGAGCCACCAGTGCTGCTCCTTCCCAAAGAGACAGGATGAGGGTGCTCTGTGATTATGGCTGTATCGCCCTTGAAAACAAAATGTTTCCTACAGGATACTGTGACTGCACTGAAACTTGATCAAGAATCCAGGGTCAGAAATCTTGAATCAGAAATCAGAATTTAATGCTGTTAACAATAATGACGCTTTCCTCATCTAGAATAATTTGATATATAAAATTTTGTTAACTGTTGCTCCAAAGAACTGTGGGAGTTCTGTGGGAGGCTGGTTGACTTCCATCTCTCTGTGCACTGGAAATCAGATCTCTGTTGAAATCAGTAGAGTCAGAATGGCACAAAATTGCACTTATGGTCAGGGTTGGCGTCTTCTTCATGTTCTCCATTGTCGTGTTGTGTTTGGGAAGGTTCTTATCTTTATATCCTGCTAATTTCAAATCTGTTGTGCTGTAAAATCTGCCTGAGAGCCAGGATAACTACATAGTGAATTAGGGTAACTGTATTTTTGGAAAAAGTGAGATGCTTTGTAATGCAGACAGCTACCTTCCTTACTAATGAAACTTGTATTCTAGAAGTAGGGAAAGCAAGAAGGTAATACTAGTTCACTTCCATAGTTGCTGAGGCTGTGTGAGAACCTAAGACCATTTTTGCATTTCAGCACCTCTCTTCGGGCGATTAAATGTCGACACCTTTGAGCATATCAAAACAAATCTGATAATGTCTGAGAGAATCCACTGGAACAGGCTGCCCAGGGAGGTGGTGGAGTCTCCTTCTCTGGAGATGTTCAAGACCTGCCTGGATGCCTACCTGTGTGACCTGCTGTAGGGAACCTGCTTTGGCGGGGGGGTTGGACTCGATGATCTCTGGAGGTCCCTTCCAACCCCTACAATTCTGTGATTCTGTGATTCTGTGAATTCTAGATCACTTAAGACATGTTAATTGTTGACAAAGTTAGGCAGCCCTGAAAAGAGCATGACTGAGCCACTGTCTACCATTTAGGTGTGTTTTAGGTATATAAATCAAAAAATCCTGGAAAATTTAGGCATACTGAATCCTATCATTCTTTACAGTTAGTCATTTCGGAGGGACAATATTAAATCAGTAAAGAGAGAATTGTCTCTTGAAGTAATTAGTGCATTACTTTATAAAATGGAACTGTTTGTTTATTGAGCCGAGTTTTTGAGATCTGGGAAATTTGCTTCTCCATTAGTGTGACGTGAGAAATTGGAAAAGCAAACCAAAATGAATCAAGAATGAGTTGTGCAAACTCCAGTGGCTCTGAGGTTGCTGCTTTTTAATACCACTTTGACACCTGTGCTTTCCAGTTAGAAGCAAAGAGGAGGTGCAGGGACGTTATAGTCAGCTTTCAGAAAGGTCTGCCTTGTCTCCCTTAGCAGTTATTTCCAGACCTCTGCTGTGGTCTTTACCTGACTTTTCCATGCCTTTATTTTTTTAAATCTTTTTAATGATGCTTTTAAATTCGCCTTCACTCTATTTTCAAGTATTGATCACTTCACTTGCAGAGGAGTCTCAGCATGCTATACATACAGCATTCTACTGTTTGTCACCCAGCTATTGTAGGCATCACTGAAAAGATGTTGTCTGAGGCAAACAGTGCAGTCCACAGATGTTTATGTGAAGGCAGAACAAGAGAAAGCATCTGTTTTTTAATCCACTTTTCTTACAATGATTTTGACTTCTCTAACTTAAACTGTTACACTATTAAATTACATTTAATGATCAGTTTAAATCCTTCAGTATTACCTGAAATGCAGGCAGCAGGGTATGTGGTATTTAACATTCAGGATTTTACAACACTTACAAGTAGAAAGCTGTGGTTCATGACCAGCCTGGCTTTGCTGGAGATGGTTGGTAATTTAATGTTGTACCAAACACAGACTCTGATTGCTGCTGCTGCATTCCCCCTCCCCTGGACACTTGCCACTCGTAGCTTCCTCCTCACCTCACCCCCTTCCTTCCAGGCCCTCACTGCTGCCTTTTTCTGCAGTTCAGGACTGCTGTCACTGCCTGGTCCAGCAACGTCAGTGGAGTCCTTCTTGGTACTCCCATGGGAATTATTACCCTTGTTATTTAAAGCAATTCTGAGGCTGATATTCAGTTCTTAAGCTCACAAAACAACTTGTAATAGGAATCACTTGCCATGTAAACATCTTCAAAAACAACCTTGAATTCCTTCCCAACATCATGAAAATATTAGATATGACGCACAAAAAAATGTGGCAGAAGACAAACAAAAAAAGATTGTATGTGCCATGGGTATCAGCTACTCTGCTAACGCATTCTTACACTGCCAACTAGTTTTATTCCTGTTTATGTGCTGCTTTTAGTTCTAAATTACTAGTAAGCAGGAAAAAAAAATACCCTACATGGCTGAGTTTGCTCATTGCTCGTGTTACTCTCAGGACAGTTACTTTAGTGTCATGGTTGTTATCAGGTATGTGCATTACTGTGTTACTTACCATAATGTGATGTGCACCAGAATTATACAGTGAACTAAAGCCAAAGGCAAAGCAAAGTCAACCTAAGCAGAACTGAAACTTCTAATTAATGGGTTCAACTTGAACGGATCTCCCAAGTGAAGACATATAACACCACAGAGGGATTGTATTCATTGATGGGAAGATGAGGTAAACAGGGTATTAAGTGTTCAGTATTTCACGTGAATGAGGCAATAGCTTCATTAATAATGAATGCTAATTATGCCATCTCCTTCTGATATCTGATATTCCCTGGCTTATCAGTGCTTTCCTTCCTGCTAGGCAGAAGAATGTTACTAGTTCCAAGGACTAACATTGTCCTTTGCCAAGTGAAGAGCATGGCTACTTTAGAAAAGACTGTGCAAATATATCAAGCAGGTTTGATTCTTCTGAAAAAGTGTGTATTTACCACTGCAAACAATTATTTACAGAATAAATACAATAATATGTGCATAACATATATGTATTGCGTAATCACGTAAATATTGTACATTTTTTTTTGTACAAATTTGTACACTGTACAAATATTGTACAAAAAAAATCTATTTCCACAGTGCAGGTCAGGAAAAGATAAATTTTGGGGTAGTCAAATTTCAACCAGCAGCATTTCTTAATTCCAACTCAGTAGTCATGAGAGCTGCAACAGGATTATGTGAAAAGGGAAGCCGTGTTTGAGCAAGTCCCCAACAGGAAAGCTCCTACAGCAAATCTGAGCAACTGTGACTGCACAGGAGTTTGTCACGTTCTGCCTATCAGCAACCAGGACCCAGATCAGCCTGCTGCTGTCAGCATAATAACTCCACACTTAACAGCAGTTGAAAGCAGGTTGTCAGGAGTGGTGGAAGCTGCAAATTCACACGTCTTCCACATTCAGTGGCATTCATGTGTTGCTCATTTTCACTGCCAGACGTTAGGTAAGTGTACCACTAATTTCCAGAAGTGCCGTTTGCCTTTTCCTGTCTCCATTCACTATCTTCAGTCTCAAGGCACCAACTTCCACCAACTGTTGCTCATCTGCCAAAACGAAACCACGCAGGATGGAAGCAGCATCTTCATCGTGAGAGAGGTGAGTCAGCTCTCGAAGCAGCTGCACATGTGGTTCTGATTCTAGCCTGGCTCGTGCTGTGGAGGTAAGGATCTAGACCAGGGGAGCAAGCAGCTTCACATCCACTGTATACTAAAAGGATGGCAGCTTTATTCTATTCATCTGTAGTGGAGGTGTAAGAATGCCTGGCTTTGTGTGTGGATGTGTGAATGGTGTCCATGTACTGGAGTGATATTTTAAGAGATCTTTCAGAGTACAAATTGACCTCAGCTGTTAGGATGCCCCACTAAGAGCTCCAATATTCAATGGGGAGAGTGTTCAGTGGTGGGAGGAATTAGGGTAGTAGGCATTTACACATTGGTGTAAGAACTGAGTGATGTGCTTCAGCAGAGCTGGTGGATCTGGATCAGCATCGCACTGCTCAAAACGGTTGTGCATGGGTCCTCTGCGCTGTGCATCACAGTGGTACAGAGTTATTGCCCCTCCTTTATCAAATCCCAAGTGCTGTACTGATGTAAGCAGTCTTTGCTTTCATTCTGAGCAATACCTACAGATAACGATGCCAACAGAAAAACTCAGAAATGTGAAACAAGAAGGCTAAAAGATGAAGATAAATAAAATGTTTTTTAAAAGCTGCACCAGAGGAAACACTGAGAGCCATCTAGTCTACTATTTTAGCCAGGGGCAAGAGGAACGACATACAAGCTTTGACAAATTAATGTTTATAAGAGAAAAAATAAGTTGTGGTATCTGGTTTATGATTTCTGAATGTATGTAGTTAACTGTTCCACTCTATAGCTAGCCATTAATGTGACTAACAAGTCTTTTCCTTGTTTAAATGAATAGTAAAGACATGACCCCAAATCATTTTAAATAAACTACAAAACATTAGGAAGACTGAAAAGTTTCAAATCACCCCGGGGTCATTGCAGTTTCTGCAAGAATTGTAAAGATCATTTCCAGTGAATGCAGCATGGTGACCTTCACTAGGTTCAGTTTGGCAGCGTGTGGCTCCCAGTCCTTTTTCCAGTTTTCAGTACTCTGAACTAAGTACCTTCCGGGCTCCTGCAAGAAACTTTTTATTCCAGCAAACTGGAATGAGAAATGCACCATTCTCTCAGTGAACACAGAAAATACTAGAGATTTGGGGGTTTTCTGTTTTTTGTTTGTTTGTTTGCTTGTTTTTGTTTTGTTTTGTTTTATTATTTCAGTGGTTTTAAAAAAGGTGAATTGCATTGTTT